GCAGCGGCAGCGGCGGCGGCAGCGGCCGCGACTCGGTCGACGTCGGGCCCCTTCCTTCTCATATCCCTTCGGGGCTCCTGAGGAAGCACCGATCCTTGCAATCGTCGTCGTCGTGTGCGCCCCCCGCGCCGGAGCACCCGACTTTCACGTTGCCGACAACGCCGACCGGCCTGGAGGCTGCGGTGGCGGCTATGGAGCAGAAGCAGCGCGGGGCGGGAGCGGTCAGGCTTTCCGCCAGCAGCGGGGCGGCGGCGGCGGGTGCAGCGGCAGCAGCAGCGGCGGCGCCGGCGGCGGCGGCGAAGGAAGAAGAAGCCGATTCGGTGGCGGAAGTCGCCGTAACGGGCGGGGTGGACCGCGGCGACGGTATCGTCAGCACCAGCACCACCGCCGGGCTCACGATCGTGGCCGTGTCCCCCCGCAACACCAACCAGGTCGGCCACTTCACCACCATCACTTCCTCCTCCTCGGGGGGTGCTCGTTCTTTCGCTACCACCGCCACCGGCGCCGCCCCCGGCAGCGGCGGCGCCTCTTCCTCCCTCTCGCCCTCTCGTCGGCTGCTCAGCCCTTCCGCAAAGGGTGCCCTGGTCGAGGAAGGGAAGCGGGCGCTCCTAGCGGCCAGGAAGGAGAAGCGGGAGCGGGAGAGGCTCGCCGAGCTCGCCGCGAGGGTTGCCGCCCCCTCCAAGACGGATGCTGATGCCGCCGCAGAAGAACGGCGTCTGGCCGAGAGCAAGAGGATGACCCTTCAGGAGAAGGCGGCCGCGGCGGTAATGCCGTGGGGCGCCGGTGTCGGAGTCGCCGCCACTTCCAGGAGGAAGAACCTGGTGGAGGTAATCCCGGCGTCGTTGTCGCCAAAGCCCAAGAGGGCCGCTGACGGGGGCGACACGGTTGGCCTCGACGACCCCCAACACTACCACCAGCGCTGGCTCCAGCAGCAGCAGCAGAAGAAGAAGCAGCAGCAGCAGCAAGAGCAGGAGCAAGAGGAGCCGGCTGCTTCTTCCACGAAGAAGCTCGGAGGAGGAGCGAGAGCGTTCCTGCTCAACCTCGTGCCGGGAGCAGAGAGGAGTGACCCCGCCGCCGCCGCTGCCGCCGGCGAACACCCCGCTACCAAGACCCCCGAGTGCACGCCCCCGGGGAGTTCCAAGGGCGGCAGGGATGCACCATCATCGTCATCGTCTCAGCACTTCTCGAGGAGGTTCCGCCGCACCAACAGCCTGGAGAACAAGCTGGGCCGCGGATGGCGGGCGGGGAAGGGGGGGGGCGGCGCGATGGCCGAGCAGCCCTCGTCCCCCCCGCGGTCGTACTTGGACTCCGATGACGCCGCGGCGCAATCGACGGCGGTTTCACCCGGAGGCGGCGGCGGAGGAGGCGTTATGGCGGGAGTGAACCCCGGGGGTGACAGCGGAGGACGATCGTCGCCGGCTCTCTCTGGGATCGAGAGCGGCAGCAGGAACGGGACGTGCTCCGGCGGCGGTGCCACTGCCCTGGGAGAGAAGACGGCGGGGATAATCACGGCGCCGTTTGCGGCGGTCGGCGGGGCGATCGCTGCCCGGAGGAGGGTCAGGGGGTGGAGGACGGTAGTGGGCGGCGTTGAGGCCGGGGACCTTTACCAATGAGTGGGACCTTTTTACGATAAATTTAGCGACAGTTTGTGAGAGGGAGGGACCTTTTAACGGCTCTTGGAGAGACGGCATCATCACCCGAGTTACTAGTGGCATTGCTGCATCAATTATGATGATACCCATGACGTACATGCAGATCTTGATTGAATGAACGAATTCATTTCATGGGGGAAATGACCACCTCGCGTAGTGTTGGTTGATGTGTGGTTTATTCTTGTTCGTGTTTCTGTATTTTTTTGTTCTGTCCTCCTGTCGCTGTAGCCTTAGTGGTTGGTTGGGTATTCTGCGGGCATTCATCGCGGGGTGCGCATGATGACTAGTTTCTTGGAATCAGTTATCCTATATACTATTACGTCCAACGGGGTAGGCGTCACTGATCGTTGACAGGAGGTGTTGGCAGATAGATGGTGTTGTTTGTTTGGTTGTTTGTGATACATAGTAAATGGTTCTTTCCCCCGTTCGGTGTATTGTGCACCACACTCCTCTTTTGTTGATGCCTAGTCCAATTGGGAGTAGAGTAGTGATTAATGTGCTTGTTGTATATCATCATGCAGGCAGGGTGACATCAGATAGATACAGGCAGAATGCATGGAATACGCACACTGTTTTTAATTTTTTTGTTATTGGCTACATCGCGGCTCGAGTTTTGTAGCTGGGAGGTAGGGAAGGGGGTGTGGGAGGGGGTAGAAGAAGAAGAATAAGAGGAGGTGGTGACAACCAAACTCACTGCGCCTTCTTTGCAACGGATTGATCACAACAAATGAAAACATTCTGCGAAAAAAACAGCTATTATTATTATAATACTACGCCACATGGCGCAAGCTACCATTATTAATCACAATTTAGTGTGGGGGGGCACTCACTCAGTGGTGGGTCGGCTCGATGCTGCTCTTCTTCTACATACAATACCCAGATACATGCTGTACATGACATACTATACATACTATGCATGCAGGGGATGTTGGATGCTGCTGTGGGTAGACGGGTATTATTATTATTATTATTGCGCGGGAGCTTCTCACCTCGCACCACATCCGATCCATCCATCCATCCATCCATCCTGTCTCTCTCTCTCGCCGTCGGTCGCTCGCAAACACCACCGGTGGTCCGGTCGGTAACAAGGACGGAGGCACTACTCACTACTACAATACTACTGTTACTACTGGAGTAGTAGTAGTAGTAGTTCGGGCCGCTCCTTTTCATCCAAGGAATTTCTTTTTCGGGTCAGGATTCGAACGAATATGATTCGGCCTGGTGTCGACTCACAGAGCCCTCTTTTTTTAGACAACTTACCATAGCGACCTTCGGGCACAGAGTTGTGAGATATGCCTCCATGACCGCGTTCGGCAAACAAACATTGCCAGACAACTTCCTTCCTTCGACACCATACCCGCCCGTGCCCTATAGCGTGACGATAGGTTCGCCGCGCGGACCGACACACACACAAAGGGAGAGGGATCCATTCGTTGCTGAAGGCAAACCAATACCGCCCAATGGTCCAGCGGAAGGCTACGTGTGGCAGCACCAGACAAACCTGAATAATCTCCCGAATGAGTTGCTCAAGCGTTCGTGTATATCAAACCTTGTACACAACCAACCGGAAACTAAACAGCCACCACCCTCCCTGCCTTCTTACTTCTTACAGGGAGGGCTGGTTCTGTTCAGAACTAAACTCGGATTTTAGCGCTTTTCTAGGCCTGACCCTTCGATTCTACTTGCAGTATAATACGACCAACCCTTATCATCATAGTACTTTCAAGATACAGACAGACACGGTTCATCCGACCCCCTACATGTACACGAAAAGATTCCAAGTACGGTCTATAAACGATGCACACCACATCCAATCCGAACCAAGACACCGTCACAACAAATAAACAAAGCAAATCAAACGAAAGGTTAAAAGAAAAGCGGGATATTGTGGTTTTTGCGACCTTCTTCCTTCCTGTCATACAGCTTAACGCTATAATAGAAGACGAGCACAAGGAAGGCTGGTTCCAAACAATACGGGGGACGCAACAAGCATGCGACTGAACATGGTGAAATATCGTCGATTCCACGTGTTTCTGCAAGAAAAACGTCATGCCTACCTGCCTGCGGAGATAACACGCCTCCTGAGCCTACTTTGTTCTCTCTCTCGTTTCTCCACGAGAAGGAAGTGCGTTGAATACGGCAGATCTCCTGTACAGCAACCCCCCCTAAAAATCGACACTAAATGTCCTGGACAGCAAACGAATTTGCGTACATGTGGCTGCAGTACAACTAGATGGGATTCAATATGCCAGTGTACCCTTGCTTTTTTTAAAAATACGACTGAGCGTGCGCGGATACTCCAAACTATCTGCATATATATCTCGACTAGACTTGCTTGGGTTTCCTGCCAGTTCCACAAGCAAGAGCCTTCTTCCAAAAACCGCCGCTGCATACAAAGGCCGCACAAGAATACAGCACATGGCACAATAAGCTACAATAATGCACGGCGGTCTTCCCCCCGAAGCAAAAAACAAACAATTTAGTACATCAACGGTAAGAAATAGATGAATTCGCCTTCCGTCAAATGGCGTTGAAACCAATGAGAAACGTTATTTTCCCAATCAGAAAATATACACATAACAATACATCGACAGAAAAAATCAGGACGGACAACAACACCCGGACCGGGGCTCACGACAAAGTGCAGTACGCACGTACGAAGAGGCAATTCGTCAATTCTCAATGCTGAATTTTCCACCAAAAAAAAATGGTTCAACATTCTAAGCAAAACCCAACCAACTTTCGTTGCCAGTCCCAACCAGTTTCGATTTTTCCAACTTGAAAACACAATTCCATTTTCGAATTTCCAACTTGAAAGTGCCAGTCTTCAATTTTCCAACTTGAAAGGAGCCTTCGTGCTCTGTTGTTATTTATGTAGGCACCAATGCCCCGTGGACGTGAGTGTATGTACACGTGCATCGCACATGACGTTGTCCCCTCTCTCCCTTGCTTGGTTTCTTCGACCCCCTTTATTGTTAGACATTGTGGTATTCGGAGGTAGCCGTGTGATGGGGTGTGTTGGTGCACCCCCATCTTTCCCGCCCCGCATCTCGCCTATCCGTCTCGTTTCGTCAAACAAAAACTATAGATACTTCTTCCCGGAGAAAACTATCCGACATGGTAGGTAATTAAGACCCTAGCGCCGCGCACAAGAGACGCCTGGCCATCTCGACGTCGTTGTCGTCGTACTCGCCCTCGCCACGCCCAAGCCCACCCTCCCGAACCACCTCCTCCTCCTGCTCCTCCCCCTCGCTCAAGACTTGACCCTCTTGGTAGTAACCCTGCAGGACGGGACAGGAGGGGGCGACGGGGGTGGGGGGGTGTACTCATAGTCGTGCATGCCGTAGTCATTAGACCATTGACCTCGCATCCCTACAAAGCCGGGACGGAGCACGCCGGGTTCTCACCGGACCAGGCTCTCACATCACCAAGCGCGAAGCACCGTGAGGTATTTGGCGAGTCGCATGAAGGGTGAGCTGCATCCTGCTAAGGGTGTTCGGCATCTTGTGCTTACTTCCTTGCGTACGGATGACAGCTACGTATGACTTAATTTATTTTCTGGTGCTTTCACTTCCAGAGACAGTTATAAGCACTGTGTAACTGCCTCGAGGAAGCTTGACCATTTTAACACAACGTGGTGCGATCATCCCCCGTTGCGCGGAGTGAGGTTTCTCGACCCCGCACAACATGATCTACTCGACCACCATTATGGTTACCGCCAAAAAAAAAACCAGAGGTAAAAAAAAAAGACGGTAACCTGGTTGCCGAGTTCACGAAGTGAATTGGCTTGTTTTACAACGTCGTTGCCAATCGACGAAAACCCAATCCCGATGGCAAACACCGAGTGGGGGGGGGGGTCAGTTTCGAGGAACAATGTCTTGAGGACGAAGAGTCGGAGGGGGGTCGCCCTCCGTACGCATGCCCGCCATGGTTTTGGTGTGAAATCGTCAGTACTCTTGGAACAGCTACTACAGTAAGGGGCTCTGTTTAAGGCTGCGAATTTAAGGCCGGTTGACTTGTTCAAGGCTGCTAAAATCGCTTGTGACAGATGCTGGAATAATGGTTATATCTGAATAGTGGAGGGTGCGCGAGATATATGCATAGCATATAACATACGTCGGTGTTTGCCCTTGGGCCATCACTAGCGCCCGTATATAAAACACGGAACTGTACTGCTGTCCGTGTGCATATCGAAGGAAATCGAGGGGGCTGAAGTCACCGGTGATCAAACCTGCAAAAGGCTGTTGATGGCGAACTGGCCTTCCGTGGGGTACATATCTATCTTTGGTCCACACGTCGTTTCTACGGTCGGGAACACTACGTCAAGCAGGCAAGAGGGCCTGGGGTCGTTGGTTCGGCCAGAGGGCACGGTATCAAGCACACAAGCTTGTCACCCCGCCGGCATAGATAGACACATGAAAATCAGGCGACGGAGGCATCACACAGACGGATCGCGACGTCGAGTTGGAAAGTTCACAGGGATGAGAAACCTTCACCTTGGCTTGTTGGAAATATTTTGCTTCCGCAAGCATCGATTCTCGAGTCAAGGCTGTCAAGGCTATGTATGTAGCCAAACACAGCAACACGACACCACCCAGGTATCGTCTCGTCGAAGAGATGCGGGAACTACAGTACTTGATTATTTCTACAGGCTAGTATCCTATCGGATTACTTGATTATGGCACCACCGATAACACGCATGGCGAACATAACTCACTCTATTTTGTGTGTACCAGGACATGGTACCCGTAGACGCCGTGCACACGCTGGAAGACACGCCGCCTAATGATGCTCCGGGGCCCCCTCTGTCATCTTCGTCTCCGTCCAGCTGACTGAATAACGTGGCCATCGTTTCCGGGGGGGAGGAGTTGGGTTGGTGCATAGGGTGAGGGTGTTTGTTTCGGACTGTCTGTGTTGTTGTGGGGTTGGAGGTAAGTTGTACAAGAAACAACATTTACGAGCCTCAATTTCTGCAGCCTCATTCACCTTCCCTCCAGCCGCTGTAGTTGCTGCTACGCTCTTATTGTTGTTATTGTTGTTGTTGTTGTTGTTGTTGTTGTTGCATCTACCTAAACCACCTCTGCCGTACACTCACCATGAGGTGCTGTAGTTCCTCTGGCCATGCTCCCTGCCGGAGCAGAAGGTGCAATATCGGTCGCCGCACGTGCCGTCGTTGTCGTTGTCGTTGTCGTTGTTCTCGTCGTCAAAGTTTTCGCAGTGGTCCCCGCTTCTATCACCGTTCATCGCCATCATCATCATCATCTGATGCTGCTGGTGCTGCTGGTGCTGCTGGTGATGGCGTCGTAGCAGCTCCTGCTGGTGCTGGTGCTGGTACTGCCGCTGCTGCCGTGATAGGCTGCTGTGGTACTGCTGCTCCAGGAGCTGCTGGTACTGCCGTTCTTCCTCATGGTACGCTTGCTGCTCGAGCTGCTGCTGGCACACCCGGCAGTGCTCTTCTCCTACCGTCCTTTCCATGCACTGCTCGCTGTTGCACCTGAGGAAAGGAGCGCGTTGCAGCGAGTGGGTTATGAGTCAGCAGTGGTAGTGCCCTTTGCCGGTACAGACCGCGGCGTCAGAACGGCAATGACAAGGCGGCCGCGGTCTGGGGGCCTTTCGACGCTGGACACACCCCATAGGCAGGCAGCGCATCATCTCCGGTGTATAGCAGAATGCGACAGAGTCAGCAAGGTGGAACCAACGAAAAGCACGTGTGCTCAACCGCGATGAAACGTCTTCATCTTCTCATAATCTTATCTTATCCTATTGATGAAGATCGAATGGGTAGTGAGAAGGAACAGCTACTGTTCCTCGGGGAGAAAAATTGTGTGGTGTGCATCACTCGAGGAACACAAACAAAAAAAAATCCAGATGGGAGGAGACGGCCCATGTAACCACGAATGTTTTCCAGCAAAAACGATATTTAACAACAAATTCAAAACTGAAGTATTTTTTTTAGCATGCGAGGAGAAGAAAGAAGGCTCAATTTCATACAGTACTGAACTGCCACGACCACGTCCACCGTTGGTTCATTTTGCGTATTTGATGTCTTCTCTCTTCGTCTGGTGGCCACGCAGATTCAATTGTGTCATTTTTCAACGGGCAAGTGACGTCAGTGTTAAACCATGCGTGGTGAGTACAGCGAGCGGTGCCATGCACCAATTCGACGGTGGGCACCCGCATGTATAGTCTACACATGCGACAGCATGTACGTACATGTCCTGTGCTTGTCAGAGGGAGATGCCGGACTTGGAGTCGATGGAAAGGGTACTAAAAAAAAAAAATACAATCATCGCAGCGACATCTAACAACAACAAACAGTAGTTGTAGTGGCAACAAATGGCTTGGGTGGGTGCGTTGGATTATCGTGTGACTTGCCACCAGGAACGCATGAAACAATACAACAAAAAACTCAACGAGGTATTCTCACTCTACATTTTGCGTATCGCCGGTGTGTCTGTGTGTGTGTGTGTTTTTTTTTTTCCTTTTATAGGTGGGCTGTTGACATGGCGGAGGAAGGGCGTTCTCAAAGGGTAGGAGTGCGGTATAAGGTCCGCCGATGAGACGAAGACTTCACTTCATCTTCCGCAAAGGCATCGGTCAGTCATTGACTTGGATTGGGTCACACATTCTCCCCATCGTCGGATCTGTGTGCACATCACATCATCATCATTTGTTAGACTCTTGAAGAGTAGAAATTGCATATAGCCCAACACCCAGCAAGTTGTTGAAATAGTCTACACTTGCTTGCCTCGTGTTCATCCTGTTGGATGGCGGTAGAATAAAGTATGCGTAGCACACGAAAAAAACGAAGGTTTGCTCCCGGGCCTTTTCTGCGGTTCACCTGTGACAGAGCAAACTACTTGCAAGGTATTGATGCGTGTACCTTCGAAGCATCATCTCTGCTTTCTCAGCGTAGACTTCAGACCTAAGCAGACTGCTCAACTGCGTTCAGAAAACTACAGTATCATCCAGGAAAAATCCGTCCCTCGACCTCCACTGTGTAGTTTCGAAAGGGTTATTATTGTTTCGAACGGGTGCAAAATAGCAATAGCCTACAGTGTGAAACGTGCTTTGCATGTTTTTTACAGTACAACAGACTACTGCTGCTTACGTAGATTCTCGACTGGCGATGGTTGGGAAGTCACAGATCCTGGTGATTACGTCGAGAACACGAATACCCCGATTGCTGCCCTACAACAGTATTAGTTTACACACTGATATGATGGCGTGTCGCCTAATTATCAGGTGTCATCCAACTGGGGAGGAGGGGGGGGGGGGGGGGCTCTGATTTTTTGGGAGGCGAAGAGTTTGAACGAACAGCCGGCCAGAACCATGCTGCTGTACACGGTCGATCCGATGTCCGATGCAATTGTAGCAGCCTACGGAGCGTTGGACGGAAGCACTTTTGTTGGGATGCAGCAAGTGAAACATATGTCCGCCCTACAGCAGTAGGTGGCACCCGCTTTTTCGAACGATCCGATCCATCCACCGGACAACCTGGCCGTTTTTTTGCCAACCATGCTGTAGCTAATACAAAACGACCTACCGCGTACAGCAGAGTACGTATGTATACAGCAGCGAGCCCGGACGCGGTTCTTACCGTGATGACAACAACAGCAACAGCAACAGACAGCAGCCTGGTCACTGAGGGGCAGGCTGCTGCTGCTGCTGATGATGATGCATTCGGAACATGAGAATTTTGCACATCTTGCACGGGCACAGATTGTTCTACACTGCTGTGCGTAAACAGATGTCGTTTGGCACTACACTGCTGTATCTATGTAAAGTAGGAGCGAAGGGTCTACAAAACGCGCTTTTTTTGCGCTGAGAACAACAGCCCTGCTCTTCAAAAATAAACGTGCCCGGACGTATGCATGCGCACCTGCTGCCCGCACGGCGTTCGTCCTGCGGCCACGTCATGATTGTGATGGATCCACGCGTCGCTTGACCTTCGATCTTGGGAGGGCAGGGCAAGTACGACAGATTGAACTTCACTTGCTGTGCAGCTACAGCTGCTGCTGCTGCTGCTGCTGCTGCTGCTGCTGCTGTGCGTGGATCCTGGTCTTGAAAACAGGGCGAACACCAGAGACAGCAGGAAGAGGAACATCGTCAAAACCGTCGCTCCTGGAAAGCAGGTGGCGTCTTTCCTCAGAGACGAAGCCTCTCTCTCTCTCAAACAGCGGGCGTTCCAGAAGTTGAGTAAGTACCTCAAGCATAGCGACCAAATTGCATTTTTGACCCCGCTACATCGAAAGGGTTTGTCTTTTACCCACCTACCTCACGGAGCAGTTCGACGGCACCAAGTACGAAGGTGGGCAGAAAACCCCGATATGTCCTGGCCCTTGTTGCTGAGGTAGATCCAGAGAGAATGGGAGAAGGAGGGGTAGGGAGAGCAGGATTGACACGAGTGATGCCCCGTTTAGGCCGTGGGGGCGGAGTGACCAGCGAAGATGCAGTTGACGTTGCTGTCATGTTGTCATGTTGCCGCTCGGATCTGTCGTCATCTCGTGATCCCTTGGTCGTCACTCGGAAAAAATATTTGCCGCATGATTTGCATGATGCAAGGATTCAACGTGCGACGTACGTACGCTGTATATATGCTACATACAACCGAAGCCATTGTAACACTTCGGTCGGGGCTTGGTTTCGCGCTTGGCCACATTGCTCGCCTACGACTATGGGCCAAGTCTAAAAATTCTAGGTCCAGGCGGCGCAACTTGATTGAGAGGCGCCTACAGCAGTAGTAGATTCGAGCCGATCTCCGAAAGAGCTAGGGTAAACCTTTTCTGTAGACTTCAAGCGGATCTACAGAAACACCGGTAGCTGCAGAATCCCCTGCTGCTGCAGTGTAGTACGTACGCGCACACCGGTTGGGCCAACTGACGTACTGTACAGTATTATTATGTAGTCAAATGCCCGAAAACGGGGTGCATTTCATGACTACATATATATATATGTAGACTACTGCACCAGCACTATTATATACAGCAGTACATTTTAAGTTTTTAAGGAAAAATAAATACACGCACACAGAAAGACTACCCATTCGAGATATACAAACAGTCGAACGGGATGTGGTGGAGTCTTTTCAGTGAGTGGAGGAAAACCGGCTGGGTACTGGACTTATTTCTAGTCTTTTTAAGTCTATACACTGATTTAAAGGAGGTGAAGCCGTGGGCGGTAGCTTGCTCCTAGAGATAGATGAAGGTAGGTTCTGTCGTTGACACGCTTGTCCACGACCACGTTGAGATGGGAAAGTTGCTTGTTATTGCTGAGAGACGATCAGCAAGGGTCTAAGGTGAAGTGGGGATCCAACTTCACCTCAGGGGGTACACAGACTAGACAAATTCTAATAGGGTAGGCGTCTGAAGGGTATACCTGCTGGGACCGACCCACATCCTATCAACAATAACATGTACCCTATTCAAGCTAGCAGCCACACTCCTTAACACTAGCCCACCCTGAATATCATATACAGTTGGCGCCCGCAGTTAAAGAAAGATTTTGTTAAGAAATTGAGGCTCACTTTTTCACGAAAAACAAGAAAATAGGGTTAAGAAACATAGCTCACTCTGGGTCACACAACAAGAAATGTCTCAATAAGAAACACAGCGGCGACCGCTGCCCTACTACATAAGAAACGAGGGTTTACGGGGGAGTGTGTCGAATAAGAAACAAACCCCACAGCTCTCTCGCTCTTTCCCCCTCTCCCCCTACCCCCCCCTCCCATAGTGCATTTTTAAAGGAGGGGAAGCCGTGGGCGGTAGCTTGCTCCTAGAGATAAATGAAGGTAGGTTCTGTCGTTGACACGCTTGTCCACGATCACGTTGAGATGAGAAAGTTGCTTGTTATTGCTGAGAGACGATCAGCAAGGGTCTGAGGTGAAGTGGGGATCCAACTTCACCTCAGGGGTTACGCAGACGAGACAAATCCTAAGAGGGTAGGTGTCTGAAGGGTATACCTCCTGGGACCGACCCACATCCTATCAACAATAAGATATACCCTATTTAAGCCAGCAGCCACACTCCTTAACACTAGCCCACCCTGAATATCATATATGCAGATTCTATAATCAAATCAATGCTCAAATCCTAAAAGCTACATAAAAGATTTTTGCTGACGATTTATGCTCGTGAATCGAAGATATGACTCTTCACAAAACATCCAAAAGGAGGGTGAGTTGTAGAAATATCCCGAATCAACCCCCACACCATCATTGAGACGAAAGAAGGATCGGACGGTCACGAGACGACACATCGACATCTCAATGACAACGCTCATGCCAATCAAGGGATAAAGCCAAAATATATATAATATGTAGTGCTGCAGAGCACGCTATCCCCGACAGACGACGACAAGGGAAATAAAATCAGAACCAAAACGCCACACACCACTCTTTACGCGCATCCGCGCGTATGACAAACAGGAGGAATGAGGGTGAGAGAGTCCCCAAAATACGGCAACAAAACTTAAAACCCAAGCAAATTTCCAAACGAATACGGCCTTTGATACTGGACGCGACGTAAAGGGAAAAAATCAACCCAATCTAGGAAAGCGTCAAGGAAGGGCAGGAGAAGTGAACGACAGGCAAACACACTGAGAACTATTGCCCGCGTGTCAAGGAACCCAAACCGTATAGAGAGGCGGCCACGGCAAGACGCCTGAGAAGCGATCTGACGAACCTCGCCCTGGCTCGCTGGCGATGCACAACACAGAAAAACATAAACACCAAAAAGTCGCAGAGATACACACAACAACACAACGACTCAAGGGCTCGACGATGATGAAGGCGTCGCCTGCATGTAGCGATGACGGAGACGAAGTAGAACGAAGTGTGGATGACGACGAAAGTCCACGGGAGAAGACGACGCAACGGGATGGTAGTCCGAAGTAATAGGCCTAGACGACACTTCTGCGGCACGGTGGAGCTAAAGGAAAAAAAAAATAGTTGGCCAAAGACGAACCAAGGGAACACGGGGAACTCGGTGTCCACCTGGTCAGAGGCAAGCTACACCGACGGCACTTGGGGAACTCTTTTTCCAAGTGTTCAGAGGTAAACAATACCGACGAAACTTGGGGAACTCTTTTTCCAAGTGTGCAGAGGTAAACAACACCGACGAAACTTGGGGAACTCTTTTTCCAAGTGTTCAGAGGGAAACAACATCGACGAAACTTGGGGAACTCCTTTTCCAAGTGTTCAGAGACATACCACACAGAGGAAACTTCAGAGGAAGCCCTTCAGAAAGACCAAATACGAACAGAACGGAAAAACGAGAGAGAACTTGCATCCAGGTCGCGGCAGTTCACTGATTCAGACGAATGCATGCAACAAGGAAGAAGAATCATTCGACACCGCGTGTCTTGAGGCGGTGTTGGCCCTGCACCCAAACACAAAATAAACCAACAAAGGAAATAGACAAGAATAAATAAAAAAAAACAAACAAACAAACTAACAAACCCCAAGATAGACCAACTCGTACATGAAACTACGACGCTAAGAAGAAATATTGGGAACAGCCTATTTAAGCTAGCAGCCACACTCCTTAACACATTATTATTAGTTGTACGACGAGGGGGGAGTGTTTTTTTTGCGGCGCCCCCTCCCTCCCCCCCTGCGGGCTCTGCCACGCTCTCTGCTGGCGCTAAAACTTTGGCACAGCACACCGGACAGGCTGCGAACCGCGACATGCTGTCTGCTGTACACGGCTTTGATGGTGCTCTCCGCCAGCTCTCGTGAGGGCTTGACCAAGCTGGTCACCCTCAGAGATCAACAAGAAAGAGCTGTCGACGAGCCAGCTCGGGGACATCAAGAAGCACCTTCTAAAAAATAAGAAACATGATGATATAAGAAACTGAACGACATACGCTGAGTTTATAGCCCACAATGAGAACTCGAGGCTGGACCTGAAATAAGCGTTTCTTACCTGCGGGCGCCAACTGTATGCAGATTCTATACTCAAATCAATGCTCAAATCCTAAAAGCTACAATAAAGATTTAGCTAACGATTTATGCTCATGAATCGAAGAAGATATGACTCTTCACAAAACATCCAAAAGGAGGGTGAGTTGTAGAAATATCCCGAATCAACCCCCACACCATCATTGAGACGAAAGATGGATGCGAACGATCACGAGACGACACATCGACATCTCAATGACCACGCTCATACCAATGAAGGGATAAAGCCAAGAAGAATATGTAGCGCTGCAGAGCACGCTATCCCCAACAGACGACGACAAGGAAAATACAATCAAAATCCAAACGCCACACACCACTCTTTTACGCGCACCCGCGCGTATGACAACGGGAGGAATGAGGGTGACTACACGAGAGAGTCCAAAATACGGCAACAAAACTCAAAACCCAAGCAAACTTCCGAACGAATACGGCCTTTGATACTGGACGCGACGAAAAGGGGAAAAACTTAACGCAATCTAAGAAAACGTCAAGGAAGGGCAGGAGAAATGAACGACAGGCAAACGCACCGAGAACAATTTCCAACGTGTCATATCATCAGTGATGCCAGCTGGTGCTAAGTACAAAAACATCTGTCTGTATAGGTAACTTACATTTTACAATACATCCCCTGTAGTTCTCAACTGGGTCAACGACAAAATATCGGGGAGAATCCCTCCGTTGTGTCGTGTATTGTAAAATGTAACCTTCACAGGGGACACGGCGCAGTGTCTTTTGACAGCTTGCTGGTTTAATTAATTAAGGAAAAATAACTACAAATGGTTTGTTAGATATTAGGAATAATATTGTAAAATCATGGAAGATGGAACGAAGGCTATATACAGCAGTACATCACTCGTTTTTCAAATCTATCTACTGTACAGATTTTTGAATTTCACGGGCAGCAGTTGTTTCCCGCCGTTTTTTGAATTTACAAAACGTATTTGATCCTTTGGGGTAACGTGTCCACCACCACACCGTACAAGATGAGCCGTATTTACCCCCCACAAGCTGCATCTCGCCCTACACGACTCCACCAATCAACAGAAGACACGCATGAAAGTGGGTTGCAGCTTTGCAGGGCTGTCGTGGGGATCCGTCGTGAACCGAAGCGGTACAGCTGTGGTGCTGCCACGGCCGGTGGGGGAAACAATTCAGCTACAGCAGTACACATGTGCTGTAGACAGCCTTGATTACCCCACCACATGGATCTCGATCTACCACAATTATTCCGATCGGCGCCAAAGCACCGGTGGGAGTGTGTGTGTGGTTCATGCACACACCACAACACGCAGCACTAGCGGGCAGAGGCGATACAATAAACTAGTCCCGCCGCACAGCGCCAACATGACACTCCGGTGAAGACCGAACACTGCCTTCTCTCTTCTTGCACAATGACTCCCTTCAAAGAGACACTTACTTGTGGAGCCCACAACCGTACTGTACAGTATATATATCTCCCTACTACAAGACTCCAATCGACATACATGCACGAGTGCATTGCTGCGTTGTTGCATGGGTATCGTGATACCCATCGTGAAGTCGAAAGGGTGCAGTTTATAATGTAGCGAATTGGTTAGGTGGGGTAACGGGTTGGGTTGGGTCGTTCTGTCGGTCGATCGGGTGGCCGTGGGCCTTTCGTCGATCGCGCCGCCGTCGCTCCGTCGATTTTCGCCGTCGGTGGCCCTTGTACCGAATATGCCCCACCGTTTGGGTACAGCAGTGGTGGTCCCAGTATACAGTACCGTACCGCGGTATACCGTACCGCGGTCCCGACTAGGGCGGGTCCCGATACACCGCGGCAAAGATCGCCTGTCACAGGATTTACAGTAGTACCATATTAAAAGCTATACATTCCCCAACACTCAATACTACAGTACACCGCGCGGTATATCGGGACGATGACTGCACATCGCCCAATTTTGGCTGAAGCTCGACATTCTTCAGGTCGCACCACCTGATACCGGTCCGGAGGGAGATCTCTTAGCTGAAGCAATAGCTGCGTCGGATAACACCGTGTGGGAAGGTAAGTCGCTGAAAATCTCCACCCACCTATGTTGTAGGTAGTCGTGGTCGTTCGATAGGAGCACAAGTACACGGTGAACAGACCTACCCACTTGTTGTGTTCGGACTGGACACCTCCCACTGGCTGTGATACTATTTGCAGCTTTTGCGATGGGGAATTGAATGCCTGACTACTTCGCGTAGCCAGTCAACCTCGTCGGTACAACTGGGCGGCCGACCGCAACGAGATGAGCTTCGCCATTGTCTTCAACGGCGCGGTTGTCCAAAAGCTGTTGACGTCATGCAGACGACGGGAATGATTTGCCGTATCGAGTGTCTCACCGGTAATGTCGGGTCTCATCGATCCTGTCGTCATTAGGCGACGGCGACACGTGAGACGGGCGTCACGAAGGCAGCGAGCGACGACAAGCAGTGGGAGCTGACATGAGATCAAACGCTGGATCATGCACACCCTGTGCTGAACCTGCGGTGCGGGCAGCAGCGCAGCAGAGAAGCGATTCTGACGAACGCCGGTCGCGTCTACGCACCACCGGATGACCAAGAGCAGGGCACAGCGTATTGATAATTTTAGCAAATCTGTGTGTGACTTTTTCTGTCTTGTGTTCTTTTTATGCCCACCTTGGTAGCATCATCGCAAGCTACGCCACTCAGACCTTGGGAGTTAAGAAAGGTAACCTCGACAACTTCTTCTTCAGCATCAAAGAACGCGGCAATAAGGACACGTGTTCAATTCTGATGTGGTGCTAAGAACAAGAACACCTCCTACATGGTGTGGGAATGCACATAAATGAAAAAAATGGAGCCCCACTATGCGGTGGTTGCAAGATAACAACGCAGGGAGGTGGGGAGGTGACCCCAACAGTTGTAGATCAAGGGCGCGAGGGGGGGGGGGGGGGGGGGGCTCAGGAATAATTCTACTCATGCGTACGGAGGGGGGGTAGGCACACGTTTGTACGGCGTGCCCATCCTTGTGTGTGCATGACCGCGCTTCTGCATGCAAGGGGGGGGGGCATGCATTTACCGCTGGGGATATTACCGGAGTTGGACCAACTTCAAAACTTTGAATGCCAGAGTGTCACTATTTCGAGACGATCAAACAAGCATGTCATCATCGCGGGTAATGGCCTCACGAACGGACACTGAGAGGCCATCGACTTGGCGTGGGGGCCGGAGGGAGGGGGAAAACAGCGGGGAGAGTATGGCGGACGGTGGTTCCAGCGACGAAGACAATGATTGCAAGTTTGATGTCACCAAAGCTGCTGCTGCTGCTGCTGCTGCTGTTGGTGATCATCACTTTTTTGTCGACCGCAACATTTCTTGCTGTGGTGTTTGCAATACTGAACTTCTCGCTGCGACGTTAGTCTTCTCGCTCACACAACCCCGCCAGAATGACTAGCTTAGCCTTCTGGACGAAAACGATAGCATGAACCCGGATGACGATGAGATTCACGGCATGGAGATTCCGGACGGCGTTCGCATTCAAGCGTCTACGCCCCTTCTCTTGACAGTTCGTTACTGCAGCTTGGAGTACTCGTTAGGCTAGGCAGGGGTTGGTTTTGGTGGGCTGATCCATAGGCAGTCTCAGCAGCCTACCCGCCAACTCTACAGCTGCCGTATGCATTTTGAGCTTGACAAACTAAGGTGCAGCATGAATCCGCCGTTGGACTGGTACAGTGGAGATCCGGATGCGGTGCTAGGGCTTGGTAGGGGGAAGGTCCGCCCATCAGTCGTGTAGCAATACACGACGGACGTTATAATAGTAGAGCGGGGAGGACGCGCGCGGGTAATATGACCTTCGCGGACCTGTGTTGCTCATGATGCATTCTTTTTTAAGGCGATGGGGCGCCTGTACTTCTACGTACGCTATTATGGTGATCTCGGAAGTCGCTGTGTGCTGGTTCCAGAATTCCTGTTGAACGAACTTTCCGAGGTTGGTTAAATATTATTATTATTATTTCCAAACAATTTAACTCGCTGCTCTCAGGTGTCGATCAACCGGTCTGTGTCCTCTGTATGGGGCCCTCGGCGTAGAAATAAGAACAAGAGTCCTGATTATCATTTGCGGATGCCTGCTTGTAATTATAAGCGTGTATGTTCGGCTCGAGGAAGCCAATATTTATCGAGCTACACGCCAAACAGGTGAGGGTGTTGTATGGCGGCAACTGTTATTATTCGCGAGACGGACGCAGGAAACGCTCATGACCGCTGTTGGAGGCTCCATCAGGGAGTTTGTCTTATTTTCCACCAAACATACTCTTGGGGCATGGCATTGATGAACGCCATTGACGTACAAGCAGCTTGGAGTGAAGGCACATGCAGACTATCAATCGATCGATCATCACACAAGCCAAGAACCTATGTAGAAAGATGTTATAAAAACCGGAGACGGATGACACGATCAGGGAACATGTGCATGGAACCGCACGGAAATAACAAATAACGGGAGACGAGGACGTATGCACCCAGTTGTAATCAGTTCTAATGGCGCCCGACCGTCGATCATCCGATGCAGACTTCCGATGCATCTCACATGCACAACACGTTTCAACGGAGATACCGTATACGACACAAGATAACACACACCCTGGACCGATTTTCAAAGCTCGATTACACCACGACGAAGAACATGCATAAACGAAACGTTGCATTTTCGGAAAGCTCTCGACGAGAAGGCTTCTCAACGCCGCCTCTGTAACTCTCTCTGCTGTTGAGAAATCAAGCTTTTGAAAATCGTTCCAGGGGGTGTGTTATCCTGTGTCGTACACGGTAGCTACATGAGTCGTTACGACGGCGAGAGTGATACAGACAGGCGGTATCGACAAGCATGGGGCCGCCTGGACAAAGACATTGCTCCCTCAAACCATCCTCCTAATCGTATGGTGAATCGTAGACCATCGTCCCTATTGGGTGTTGGGTCCCTCTGTTGGAGAGGGCAGTGTTCGGCTTCTCTCACATGCTGTGCGGCGGACAAACTTGAAGTCTGTGACCGCAGTGTTGTTTCCCCCAGTCCCCCTTAGCTGCTGCTGCATCTTGTGTGTGCATCCACTCGCTCCCACAGGATTATTCCCAGACAGACATACAATTAGACTACTGAAGGCCTGTTCGAGACAACACCATAGTCCAAGAGGATGTGTTCAAGTCTTGCAAAGGTGAAGTTGATGTGTTTCAAGAGGTCCAAAATGGCATGCGGCGGGATCGCGAATATTAAAAAAACTATGGTGGAAAGATGGGGGGGGTTGTAGAAGGGGTTCCGTCAAATGCACTCGCTACTCGCTATTGATGAGGCAAAAGGGCAACAAGCCAGCTGGTGCTGGAGAGCAGACAGAAAGAGAGATTCTGTTGGACATGAGTCCCAACAACATGTGAGTCTTTCCTATCCCCGCCCTTCGCCCGACTCGTGTCACAGTGTGTATAGTTCCGCGAAGTGTGCTCACGATGTCGGTGTGTTTGGACAAGAGAGGTGGTTGGTCCCTACGTCCTCTGGTGTTTTTTCGACTCTTGCAGCACGCACACGCACACCGAACACAGAAGAGAACAGCAGTTGGTTGGACTCAGACGGAAGGGAGGTTCTGGTTTTGGTCTATAGGTAAAGCACTACGTTGCGCGCCGGACTAGACGCCGCTGCATGTCTCTCTTTGGCTGTGTTTTCCTCCACCGCTCTTGCACTGCCGGATCCATAACCCAAACGGCAGCTTTATGGCAGTGCGGTGAGCGTGATTCGCACCCCGTTTGTATGCACACGGGGCCTTGCAGCAGTTGTGATAGCACGTAGCAGCAGCGGCAGGAGAAGAACAGCGGCCGCAAACCTCTCACCCAAGACACACCACCCCGGTTGCGAGCGGTGACAATAACCGCCTGCATCGACAGATGAAGCGAGTGGGAGAGTTTTTTTTTGAAATTTTGAACTCGATCACCCTTTGTTCGGGTGGTCTCCCTCGCCTCTCCCGAGAAATACTACATACCGCCGTATGTAGATACGAGCGAGAGGTTGGAGGGGTTAGAGGCCTATCGCTGCTTCTACCGGACGCTCCTCTTGTTAGCTTGGGTCCATGCCCTTTACAGCAGCAGGTTTTGTTTCCTCTCCTCTGTTTTGTTCATAAATGATGATGATGCGTTGTCTCCTCCGAAAATATTTACCGCGCTTTTTGCACGACAGGGAGGGGGTTGCAGGTTTTAGTCTTACCACAGGCACAGGAAAGCAGTGATGACGCCGAAAATGGCGTCGTTGGAAACCGTCTCGTAGAGAGCTTTCCGAAAACGCGTGCTTCAATTCGGCACCCTCTTTCGTCGTGGAGTAACCGAGCTTTGAAAATCGGTCCAGGGGGTATGATATCTTATGCAACCTACGGTACCCCGTGCTATATGACAGAGGATACCATCCCCCCCAGAGGGGAAGCGGACCGACTTCGCCCGGTTATTTTAGTACAGTAATCTTGGGAAATAGAACAGGGAGGGGGGACGCACACCCTACTTCCCTATCCCTTACAACATAGCCTGCCCACAATGCCAAGGCTACTGGGGGAAGCCCTGCCGGATTGTGATTCTTTCCACAATGTTGCTGCTGCGGAGTACTCAAATGTTGAAAACTTGGCGAGGATTCTAGTATGCATCTATGAAGTAGAGAGGCAAAACCTCCTGTTTACTTGATAGATTCATACACAGCAGCAAAGTCCTCGCGAAGTCGGTCCGATTTGGTTTTGTATCCCTGTCCCTAATCCCCACCCCCACCCCGTACCAAAACACAAGAAACCAATGTTATGCATACTAATACGTAGTAGGCACCCTCGCCAAGGCTATGCATACAATACTGATATTTGATATTTGACGTGTTAGTACAACAGTCAGCACCTCCACCCCTGCCACACCCCGAGTAGTGCATGACTTCCCACGAATATCTATCTCATGGCTTCTCACGACTATTTCTGCCTTGACTTCTCGGATACCTTTTTCTCTCTTTTTTTCTCCAGGTATGGTGCGTCGAAACATACTCTAGCCTGGTGCCCAGACTAAAGATGAGGCGACACAAATATTTCTGCATTTTCAGTTAGTTGGTTTTCCTTTTTACGCCTGCCATGTCTATCCGCTAATCCTGCTTTTCTCCCCTCTGCTGCGCAGGAGCGGCCAAATTGACAGCGGGCAGGGCGGGGTGTGTGCAAGACGTCAAGACGACTTCCCTCACGGGTGAGAGAAAAACATTACATGCGTGGCATGTACCGATTTACACATACATACTTTGTACGATGGGCATCGCGGTGGTGCGAAGATGGTGGGAACGCTCGAAAAATTTGATCAATCTATCCGCCGCGTCGTGTTCGCATCATCCCCTTTGCTTTCCTTCCCTTTCCCAAAGCCGGGTTGGCTCTCTCATGTGTTTATGCGTTCAGGCGGCGTGTATGCAGTTGGTATAATACTTGTTTGGGGGTGGGGGGCGTACTCTTATGTTTTGCATGCCTTAGCGGTTGGACCATTGACCACGCGTCCTCGAGAGGACGAAGCATTGTTCCCACAGGACCGATCACCGATGGTCAATTGTTCCTTCCTACTTTGCCAAAGGTGGCTCAAAAATGTCTTCCCTAGTCTGTCTATCCTATCGATATCCCTTCCCGCCTTTTCGAACCACTGCCTACTCCCCAGTACAGCTACCGTCCTCTCCTCTCTATTCCATGCCTCGAACATCTCCCTGCACCTCCGTTGTATTTTTGCCTTCTCAGTCATGTACACTTCCCTCTCCTTATTGTACAGCCGACATTCCGCGACTACATGAACATGGTCTTGGGGGTGGGGGGAGGGTATTAGATGATACCATAATGGTCCAATTTTATCTAATAGAGGGCGGGACCACAGCCCTGCCTCGGTGTGTTGAGGCTAAATACGTTTTATACCAACCGGTGCTTTCACCTCGAATTGTTCAGGCTCAACGTCTTGTACGTGTTGAAATGTATATGTAGCACCGGTGCTTTGCATCTCGAAAAGTATTTAGGCTCAACCTCTTGTACAACCCACCTCTCGCGTAGTATCACCTCCTGCGTTTTTTTTCGCTCCGGTCAAGAGGCTGTGATGCACTCAAGATACAAGGTAGGATGTCAATGGTGCACATGGTTGACATGCTATTATAGGATTCCATCAGAACACCAGACTAGCTACATATGGCGCCCTGGTATATATTGGGGTGACAAGCCGAGTTGAAGCCGACCCCGGAAATATGGCGAGGTGTTTTGGCGCTCCCACCCCATAGGATAACGGTTAGGATAACCCTCCCCCCTGGCACGTTTTCCCGACATCATGATATAATCACCCCACCCCCCCCACCCCCACCCTTTGCGTCTTTCGCGATACGGTACGGTAGGGAAAGTGGTAACTTTGCATCTGCGGGGAAGTTCCAAGAGGCGGCACCGTCATATGGTAGTCGTGGCAATCGGCAAGGTAGTCGGGATCGGCAACAGCGACATGTTCCGAGCGACAGGGATACACGAGAAAGGAGGGGGGGCAGGGGTAACAACGGCGGAGGCCGGGAGGGGGTGGGGGGCGAGAACGCTCCCTTTTCCCGGAAGCAGCCGTCTGGGTTCAGCTCCAGCGGGCTGCCGCAAGACCGCGACAGGGAGAAAAATCAGGGGCAGGATGGAGAAGTTGTCGTTGTCGCTGCTGCCCAGGAGAAGGGAGTGGCCGCCGCAGGTAACAGGGACAGGACCGTGGCCGCCCAACGAGAGACCCGTGTGGGTCCGGGAAGAACAAGGGATGGACGCTCCCGCGGCGATGGACCACCGAGAATCAGAGGAGGGGGGGCTGCCGGCAGAGACGTTGGCGCCAGCCGCGATGGGCGGGCAAAGGCGGAGAGAGGTCGAGGAGAGAGAGACGACAGCCGTGATGGCGGCGGCGGTGGCGCCACGGCCTTGTCGGTGGGGTGCGGCGCCGGGGGGCGTAGGCCTACTTCTCAGGAACCTCACCGCCGTCCCATGAGCAGCAACGCAAGCGGCAGCCGCGGTGGCGACAGTGGTACAAGCGCAGAGGAGCGCCATTCACGGAGGGATGATAGGCGGGACCAGGAGAGGTGTGGCGGCGGCGACCGCAACATGCGCCGTCAGAGTTCCGGCCGCTCCGACCGTTCCGCGGATCGCTCTGCGCGGGACCGTTCTTCGGCACCCCAGGGCCGGTTCGCAGAACGGTCGTCGTCCTCCAGAACAGGCCGGTTTGCGGACCTCTCGGGGGATCTTTCCTCCACCTCCGCTGCGCGCAGCCAAGGAGATGCTTCGCGGGAGCAGTATTCCACTGCTGCTGCCCTCGACCGCGCAAAGAGAGACGACCGTTGGAAGGTCTTCGACCGCCACTGCCGGGACTCCCACCCCTCCACAAACACAGCACATGAAAGGTCAGGGCCTGCGCGCAGCGATCGCGGGCGGTCTGCGGATCGGCACCCTCCTGTGGTCGTTAGGCTCTCCCGGGATGGATCATCGTTGTCTGTCCCCGACGTGAAGCACGGCCGGAGCAGGGATGGTGGTCAAAGTGATGGCGAGAGAGGTCGGACAGGAGGCAGAGAGCGACCAAGGAGTCGAGGAGAGGGCGCGAGGACGAGCGAACGGGGGCCTGCGGGTGGTGGGGGCAGGGGTGGCAATGGTGCAGTCAGCGGCAGCAAGCGCCTGCGTACGGGCGGCGACCGTGCCGGCGACACGAAGAGACCGAGATCAACATCAAGATCAAGATCGGCGTTTGTTTCTCCCGGTTGTGACGGGAGGAAGTCGTCGTTCTTCCGGAGCGAGGACGACCGCGGGAGGTCGTCTGGTGATGGGAGATCTTCTCGCGATGGCATGTCATCTCGTGATGAGAGACCATCCCGTAATGGGAGATCGTCTCGCGACGGGATGTCATCTCGTGATGGGATATCATCTCGTGATCCCAGACTGCCTCGTGATGGGAGATCTTCTCGCCACGGGATGTCATCTCGTGATGGGATGTCATCTCGTGATCCCAGACCGCCTCGCGATGGGAGATCTTCTCGCGATGGGATGCTATCTCGTGACGGGAGACCATCTCGTGATGGGACATCTTCTCGCGATGGGATGTCATCTCACGATGGGACATCATCTCGTGATCCCAGATTGCCTCTTGATGGGAGGTCTTCTGGTGATGGGAAGCCATCTCGTGATGAGAGATCCTCTCGCGATGAGAGATCTTCTCGCGATGGGAGATCATCTCGCGATGGGATGCCATCTCGCGACGGGAGATCATGTCGTGATGGGAGATCATTCCGTGATCCGACGGGCGACCCATCGCCTCGAGATCGAAACCCGGAATCTTCTCGCCCTGTCCCAACCTCGCAAGACTTGAAGGCCGCCTACTCATGGGGTAAAGCTTCGGGTAATTCTTCTGGAAGGGGTGGTAGACAAGGGCCCCCTTCTCGCAGCAAGGACAACGGACAAGGGCACCAGGCATCACCCCGCGCAAGAAGAACAAATGCCGCCGTTCGGGACGACGGGAGGGAAGCGATGACGTCGTCATCGATGACGATGACGTCACCATCGATGACGATGGTGTCACCATCGATGAGGATGACGCCGCGATCGTTAACGATGACGTCACCATCCATGACGATGGCGTCATCATCACTGTCCCCGAGGGAAGAGAACCGCTCTTTCTCCTCCGACGCCGGCAAGGGAGCCGGTACGAATCCAGGAGACACCAGCAACACCGTCTTGTCGCGGGGCGGCGGAAGGGGCCCCGGTGCGCAGAATCGCGGGGGGTGGCAAGCGGCGGCGGAACCCCCTCCGCCGCGGCGCCGGCAGCAGCAGCGACGAGAGAAGGACGAGCAGCTGCACGCCCCGCAACCTCAGCAAACGGAGGAGGCGACGGAGGAGGAGGTGAAGGAGCTTCCTAGGCACTTACTCGGGAAGAAGCCCGACTTCGAAGCGGAAGGCGGGGGCCAGGGCGAAGGTGCGTCGTCTTGCCTTGGTATCTGTAGTATCTAGTACACGCTGATGATGGGGCGCTTTGTCCCCCCCCCCCCCCCTCCTCCCTGTTAGTATGTTATCCGTGCTCCGTCTCGTAAGACGTGCGTGGTCGATGGTCAAATGACTAAGAGAAGCAGCAGCTTCCGGACTACTCGCCTACTCTCCCGGGCTTGGCAACGCCGGGTGTGGCAATGCTGAAGCCACATGTGCGGTGCTTCGAGTCTGTTCGGTTTCGTTGGAGAGAGATGTTCGGAAGTGCAAGTAGAATCCAACGTCTCTCGTTGGCCTTGCGGCAGTGCTGCCGTCGCCACCGTGCGCGCCAAGGATATCCGCGGTCAGTTTTTTGTAACGGAGGGAGGCTCCATTGTTCGTTTAACTCCACAGTCAGTCATGTATGTGCAGCAGACATAAACAAACGTCTACAGAAGGTCGTGTGCTTACTCTCCGGCCGCCGGTGGCACTAGGAGTGGCTGCTGTTTTTTGCCTGACGCATCGTGTGTATGTTTGCTGACTTCATCCTGCCTTCTTCCGTCTTGTCCCCTCTTCCTCTGCTGCTGCTGCTGCTGCTGCTGCTGTTGTTGATAATGCCGTGGTCGGTTTTGATCAGCCCTGAAGTTCGCCAGCGACCGTGAGGAAGACCCCCATCGAATAGCTCAGCGCCAGAAGCAGATAGATTTCGGCAAGAACACTTCGGGGTACGACCGCTACCTGGCCGCGGTCCCACGGTAAGACTAGCAGTATAAATCAATCGACCCCCACTCTTGTCATCATTCTCGTTCTCGTTCTCGTTCTTGTTCTCGTTCTCGTTTTCGTGATGGTGCTTGCTTTGTTATGGTCGTCGCCATCTTTATGTTCTTGTCATCGATCTTGTCATGGTGCTTGCCATGATGTCATCGTTTTCGGTCTCCCTTGTGGGTAACAACACCTATTATTTTCCAATAACTGCTCGGTATTTTTCCAGTATCAACGCGTTTTTTTTTATCAGCACGAGACCAATCTGTCTTCACCTTTCCATTCAATAGGTCCCGTTGGCTGTATCTCTCTCCAGTTCCTTTGTATGAACCTACTGTACAGTAGCAGAATACCATCGTCAGCTACTTGCTGATTGCTACTGTTTTCGAGATATATTCGTGAGCACTACTGTACCGTTGTTAATCTTACCTTACCCTACCCTTTGGATTGGAGTCCTCTTGAAGGAATAAATGATCGACGGTCAGCACCAGCACCAACACCAACGCCAACACCGCGTTATTCGGGTTGGCACGCGTGTGTTGTACTAGTATCACGACTCGCCATGCCGCTCGGTCCCAATGTTTTTTTTCTCCCCTTACAGTACAATTGTTCTCCTGTACTGGAGTACCAAAAAGTGCATGATTGTGCCATATTGGTGTATTCTCTCTCTTTGTTTTGTAGTAGGTGATTCGTACCATGAAATCGATGTCCTGTTGAATTGTGCCATCGACCTCATGTGATACTTGCGTAGCGTATTGTTCCATGGGACTGATTGATTTGTCTCTCTCGCTATTTGTGTATCTGTACTGCTGTGCCTCACAGTAACAAACGGAGTAGAGGAGACCCCAAGACTCCCAACAAGGAGAAGAAGATGAGCAAGCGCCGCTGGGATGGTCAGGTGATTTTTTGTACTAAACCAAACAGTAAATACAACGTGAAATTCGATTGAAGTATGTCGGAAGATGATGATGCGGACGCAATCATTGTGCACCTGAACGTGACGATATGACACGTCCCAATCGGGCAAAGGGAACCGGTTGTCTATCCCTGCATCACCCGAAACTGAACTGTTGTCGTTCAACGTATGCATAACGTCTGTCACAACACCGGCGCCCCGCAGATTCGAAGCTGGAGGAGGCAGCTGCACGAGTACGACGTGGAGGTAGCAGGGGCCGCCTCAGGGGAAGATGGTTCACACGATCAGGCCGTCACCGACAGCGAGGGCGATGGGGAGACAGGTATGCAGCACGTACCACGTACCCGCCGCTTTGGAAGAGTGTCAGCCGCATTATGCTTGATGCATGCCGTATGATTCTACGCAAGACAACACACCCCGGCAATACACTCTGTTGCTTCTAATAATCGGTCGCACACCTGCCGTGCGATCGCCCACACGCTTACAGTCTTGATACAAGTACCCTTCAGGGATTCCGCCGCTTCTTTCGTGTTGTGGATGATGGCAGATTTTTCCAGACTTCGAAAGAACGGTGCCTGAAACCGCTCTCTCTTTCTCTCTCTGGTATCAGGCAATGGTTGTGGCCGCGAGGCTTAGAAGCCAAGGCTCCTGCCTTGCTGCAAAACTTAGGTCGAGAGTACATTCGACAGGTTTTCCACCCCATTCTTGTAGCCGGTGACAAAATCTCGACCATCATCATCGTCAAGCTTCTAGGCGAACGTTGTTAGAGGTCTTGCAGCAGCTTCTCCCTCGTCATTCCTGACCTTATCGTCGTCCTTGTTTACGCAGGAGACATCGGGCGTGCTCCTTCGCGGTCCTCTTCCGATGGCTGCAACGTGTTGGACGTACCGGTCCGCGGCAGCAGTCAACACGGCCACCTGGAAGCAACAGCAGCATCTTCTGCATCGTTGTCCCCGGCAGCAGCAGCAGCTGCAGCAGCAGACCCCGGTGCGTTGGTCATAGGGGTAAGCGATGACTCCGGCTATGCCTGCGCGGACGGCTCCCAGGAAAGTTCTTTGGCCGCCGAGGAAAATCATTTTTCCGCCAAAGAAGGTTCTTTTTCGGCAGCCAGGGAGCAAGGCTTCTCAGCCGTGGCCGAGGAGAAAAGGCACACCATCACCATCAACGCCGGGATCTACGGAGACTCGGACGGCGAAGATGATGGCTTCGGGTCCTCTCCCGGCCTCAATACTGCGGGCCCTGTGGATGGAGCAGCAGGAGGGCGTATGGCGGCGGGGGCGGCGGCGTTTTCGAAGGGACGGGGCGGGAAGAGGAGGAGGGGGGATGCGAGGGGCGAGTCTAGCACTGATGACGTCACCGGCTCGGCGTCAGCGTCGTCTCCTTGGTGCACGAATACATCGGGGGACTGGTGGTCTGATGGGGATTCCGCAAGTGAGGACGAGGACGAATGCCAAGAGGGTGCGTTTTGTTCGGTTCGGGGTTCCGTGGATAATTGTCCGTGGATAATTTTATGCACAGCAGCATTGTTCCGACTTGTTTTTTTCTTCCTTTTTCTTGTTCCGGCTGTCTCTTTTTGGAAATGTGGGGGTTCAGCAGGCCCAGTAAGGAGACAACGGTCAGGGGGGGGGGTTGATCGTTAATCCAAGCACCGCTTTTTGTGGCCTCCCGTTTTGTCTTTTTTTTTTTCTTGCTTCGCTTCGGGCCTGGGCCGGGTTGACATAGCTGGATCGATCGAACCTGGGTGGTTTCAGTTCGTTCAGAGCACTGCGACGGTATCGTTGTTCCTACCGATTTCTCGCAAAGGTCATGTGTGGTGTAGTGTGGTAGAGGTTACCCCCCGTTCGTCGTCGTGTTCATGTTTAAAGACTGCTGTACTGCGAACTTGGCTGCTTGCTGTGACTTTGACATTCCAGAACACCCTCCTCTTTGGTTTTGTGGTTTCTGACTCTCTTTTCAGGCACTGAGCGGCGGCGAAGAAAGAAGAGGCGTGGATGGGCCGATGGCCGATTTGTCAACCTAGGCGGTGGAGAGAAGCTAGGGCGTGGGGAGCTGTTGGCTGCGGAAGAAGAAGAGGAGGAGGAGGAGGAGTTGAGAGAAGAACTAGATGGGGCCCGAGGGATGGGAGGGGCCGACGAGAGCGGGAGGGAGTTGGGTGATGAGATAGAGGGTATGGGGGGCGGCACCGCGGGTGCGCATGGGGTTGTAGGGGAGGGGGGGGGCGAAAGTGGGCTGGGGGGACCCGGAATCGAAAAGGCAGTGGAAGGGGGGGTGAGGAGGATGGGGGGTGGGGTTGTTGAAGAGGTTGTAATGAAAGAGGTAGAGGGGATAGGAGCGGAGGGGGCGGTCAAGTCGGAGGTGGGGGGATTGGAGCGGGCCGAGGAGTTCAGCGACGATGATCTGTTGTGACGTGTGTATGCATTCATCAGTAATTAAGAATGATTCGCTAAAGTATGGTGGTGGATGGGTGTTGTTGGTGGAAGTAATTGCTGAGAAGCACGTGCCTGCTCTCCTAGGATATGCGCACGACTTATAAGTACTACATACATTGTAGAGAGAGAGAAAAGGTGCCCGCAATTAATTGATTGGCCATTTTTTTTTAAGGACCGTTCCAAAGAAAGGCGAAAACTCCGTGATCGACCGATGACGTCATCCACGGTCATGAGATTTAAAATTTTCAAATTTTCAAATTTGCCGTGGATGACTGACCGATGACCTCACACGGCAGCCAAGAGGTACCAGCCATCACCGTCCCTCAAAAATAAACATGTTTCCCACCATCACCAGTGATGATCCCAGCAGTCACGCTCCCTCTCGGGAACCACCCAACCAAACAAGGAAGGGCTCTCAGGATTGGAGCAGGGGTGACAAAACATAGATAGATCTATCTCTCCATCATTGAGGCATGCACGACAAAGCTATAGTCTACGCGACGGACGAAGCGAAAGGAGACAAAAATGAAGTTTGGTTTTGGTCAACTCCCTTCTTCCCAACCGTACCATTCAATCAACCAACAAGCATCGGACACGCTTGTCTGTTGACGGTCGACCGTGCATCTCCGACCCCCTTCTTGTGCTACTCTTATATGGCGCCCTTACATCGACGACAGATCGGTGGCACCAGCACCACCATGCACTGAGGATGCTCGAATGGAAAGCTTTGCGAGAAAAGATGTGTTGGCACGTGTCAACAAGACGGCACGGTCGTCTTCAACTGCTACTGTGCCACCACAACCTTCCACCACCAGCAGCAGCCACCGGTAGTGCTATGTGGAGCAGACCAGGCTGTCCGTATAACCGCGAGTGGATCAAAACTCGAACGCAGTGCATCATCTAGGGAGGCGTTTCAAAAAGGGTTCGCCCGAACCACAAACAGAACCCTTTTCATAAACAGAACCCTTTTTTGGAGACTGCTGCTCTGTGCTGCCTCCTGCCTCTTCCCCTATTCAATTCAACTTGGCTCCCCATCACTCGAAGGGAACGACCAAGCGTGCGTCCACACATCCTCGCCGAAGCACCGTAAGTGAAGAATTGCGACGATTCGAGTGATTGGTGGGCCTTTTTGTGTCTCTTCTAGGTCCAAATTCAAATCTTCAGCCGTTAGCTTTTCGGCCTCGCCAAATTCAAATCGACGTATGCAAATTCAACTCGACGTATGTATACACGGCCGCATGAGAAGCCATGTGGACTCCAGTGTAGCTTGGTGGGGGCGAGGGGAGAGCCTTCCACGTGCCCCGACGTGTACGTATGTTCTCTCCTCCGAACGACCCGTGACCAGAGAGCGAGTCTGCTCCCTCTTTTGATCCTTCTACAGTAGACTAAACTGCTGTAGCCTGTGAACCAAATACTCTCTAGGGCGGATGCCACCCGCATCCCTGAGCCTCATGATCGGCGAGAGATTTTCGAGAGAAGACTCAGATTGCCCATTCAGCACGGTCTACTTGATAATACGGTCACCTCTGTGTGACTTGTTGTACTGCCGTATACTTCTATACGTTATACATGGGGACGGCGTTTGCTGGCAACGCGTCCGCACCCAAAAAGGGAACCGCCAAGCACCCATGTGTGAGAAGTACATTGTTGGGGGCAAGAGTTCACGACGCAGACTCTAGGGCAGCTCAGCGTCGTCCCTAACGTTAGCATAAACGCGGAACAAGGCGTTGTCAAATCGGCCGAGACACCGATCCCCGTGTACATTACCTCGAAACAACCTCTCACCTCTACGCCTTCACTGTTCGCCTGGTTTTTGTTTGACAAATCTTGCAGAAAGAACGATGAGGAAGAAGTACTCCCAGGCCGCGCTGAAAAAGTCCGCCGAGGGCACATCCAGGCTCTTCAGCTTTTTCGAGGTACGTATTTGGAGATACAGCAGTAGAGGCTACAGACATCCATAGCACAGCCGTGTTACTTTGAAAGGAGATGCTCCTCCCCGCACTAGATCCATGCACTATCCATTTGATCCACTTTGTTAGATGAGTGGTGCGTCGTTCGGACTCTCTTCACCACCATCTGTGTAGCCTTCCGCTTGATGGCACCATCCAACAACACCCGAAGCTCCGGATAACGATCGATCACACCGTACCCGGTCACCTACACCCCGGTAGGCGTTCGCTGTGATATCGACCACAGATGTTCTGTAGTTTATCGATTTACTTCCCACGGGATCGTCTTGGCGCACCCAAGTTCCATATGCCAGGGCATCAGCCGTCCCCGAGGCTCACGAACATCGGGCGACGCGTCGAGCACGCTGCCTTCGAACAGCCGCTGTGCATACGAATCTGCAGCAGCATCGTCAACGGAGGTGATCGCTTTTCCGAGAAAGTTTAAGGTGGACGCTCTCGTTCAAATTTGGTGACGGGTCTTCCCGGCAAGCACATCCATGCACTGATGAACGAATTCGCGGGTACAAGTTGGAACGCCCCCTTTTGTCGACTTTGCTCCGCGATCATTTCAAGCACGATTTCCCTCTGTTCCGTGCGTCAAGTTAGTTGCTCTGGGGTCAGTACCGTGCTCCCTCTTTTCCGCCTGTAGCGATGAAGACGCAAAGTATTTATGTGATGCATCGGTGAAAAGGAGGGAGCAAATCATGACAACCTACCAGGAAACACGCCATTGACCCCCCAAAGGCCGCCTTTCTCGCGCTCCGCTGTCGACGGTGTTGTACGCCTCTCGATGCCACGCTTGCAACAGTCGAAAAAACGTGGTCGCGCCGATGAGGGCAAAGGGTTGTTGGGCTTCCTCCAGGACTCAGCGTTTGTCGATGCGGTGAAGGTCGAAGACCTCGACGAGGAGGAACCCTTGAACGTGAGTACTACTGTACAGCGGAAGGGACGATCCGCCCCAGTCAGGGACGCCGATGATGGTTGTTTTCGCTTGACGGCTCTACCAGATTGGATGGCAAGCGCATTCGACCAGCAAGTTATCAGCACCATGCTTCATTTTGAAAACGTTGCCGCCTCCCCTCCCTTCATTTTCCGATGTTCCCCGCAGTGGACACCCACGGTGTTCTCCACCTCTCGCGTCTCCGCCCCTGACACGAGCGTCGAGGCTCACACGTCCTTCGTGGCGGAGCTGCCCCGAAGGCCCGGTCATGTCGCGGTGAGGAGCGGATCGAGCAAGGGCAAGGGGGACCTGGTCATGGTCATCGAGAAGACCCTCTACACCGAGGCCGTTGATTTGTACCAAGGGCCTTACGGTCGGGAGGCGAAAGACGGTATCGAGAGCGACCCTCACGAGGGTGTCCTTCCCGACCGGAACGGCGCTGGTAGCGTTCAGTACGCCACTGAAGAAGACGCCATCAGCGCTATCCTCGAGACGAAGCAGCCCTACGGTGATGGTCTTCACAAGTTCCTCGCGCTCTCTAGCTTTTTTCGCTGGCAGACTCCAGCAAAGCAGCGGAAGATGGACGCCGAGATGAAGGCTACGTTTACCGAGGGTGAACTCTTCCAGCGCTCGTCGCTCTTCATCGACGAGACGGGCAACGCGCTGTCCAAGATCGGAGTTAGGGTAGCAAGTGACACTGGGAGAGGGGTGAACGTAGACTACGGTGCTAGGGGATTTGAGTCAGACCCCAAGAGTTTGTTGACTTTCAACCGAGGCACCATCGGCGGGGCACAAAACGGGGCTCGCAAACTACTTGCGATCGACTCAGAGGAAGATGTGCGACTGAAGACTCCCGAGGTGGCCGCCAACACCGTGGAAGAAAAAAGGATGTTCGTCCGCCTCAACGATGCGGCGGTGCTTGCAGCCCGCAGGTCTGAATCCCCTTGGGTATTTTCGAAAAGCAAAGCGTGGCCTATCCCCATGTGTATTTTCGAGGTTTGGTAATACTCCCACTCATTTCGACGCATGCATGCAACACCAGCAGGTAGCACTCCAACCTTGTCTGAACTACTTTCATTTTTAAAATATTCTTTCGGCGCCTCAGTGAAACATTGTTCAAGAAGGGGTCCTGGCTGAACAAGAATGTGGTCGGGCTGGCCTGGGTGCAAGGCCGAGGGCTGTCCCTCGTACGGACCAAGGAGGGGACCACACGTGGCGGGAATCCCTGGGTGTGGCTTGTCACCGTCATCGACAACTGGGAGTACTGCTGGTCTGGACCCGGTTTTGTGGTGTTCATGACGCACAACTGGTGCTTCGCAGGCTACAAGAACCTCAAGGAGCATGACCGGAAGGGCGCCAACCAAATGGAGGTGGGGCGATCAGGCGACTTCTCGACCCCCTCGGCAAAGGGTAAGCAGTGTTATTTATGTTGTGGTTGTCTGGTATTTTGTTTGTTTGTTGTTGCTGTTATTGTTGTTGTTGTTATGGTGGTTGTGGTCGTCGTTGCCTCAGGCTAGTTATTTCCCGTTCGTATCATCTGCCATGTGCACCGACGCGCCCGGTGTGCACGTCAGCGATTGTAACCCCCGGTAAGACCGCTCCCTTTTGGTCGAACTCTTGCTGTACGCACGTGTGCGATAATAGGCAAAGTCAACGGCCCGAAGAGCAATTTCGGCATGACGGCAAACGCCACCGTGGAGGGCGCACGGGCGCGAGAGGTGGCCGCCGAGGCAGCCGTGGAGGCCGCTTACACAGCGGAAGAACAAGCAGCAGCGCAGGGACACCTCGTCGTTGCGATCAAGAGGCGCAAGCTCGTCGTGAAGGCGAGGCAGGACCAATCCACCGGCGGTAAGCTCAAGGGAAAGTCGTACGAGTGCGTTATTGTTGTTGTTGTTGTTGTTGTTGTTGTTGTTGTTGTTGTTGTTGCCTGGCAATTGACGAGTCATTTTCCACCCTCTCTTTCACTGTGTTCTTTTCACCCGACGCAACGAAGGCATCCCCGCTCCCTTGTATGCCGATAGCAAGGCGTGCGATGGACCCTGTGAATGAAGTTTCTCGCGAAGTAGATTATAATGCCGCCAAGCGTGCTGTTTGACCTTATTTCATATTTCTGCTTATGTGACAGTAGTCGATCGAGCAGAACGCGATGCCTTAAGAGCGAGCAACTGGTGCATGGTTGGATTGAACCTATTCCCCCCGCCCGTCGTGTTCGTTGCAGGCGTTTCTGTCTGCGTGTTATTGTTGTTCTTTCATTCTCTACGCCCGTTCCATTCCGACCCGCCCCCGCCTTTCATGATACGATAGTTCACCCGACGCAAACCAACTCATCCCCGCTCCATGCTCCACTGGTTGTGTTGATACGGTTGAGTGCGTCTGACCCGTTGAATGCAAGGATGTTGTTGCGTCGAATGCGTCCACTCGCCTGCTATTGTACTTCGTGTGCGTCCGCAAGTCTGTGGGCGTTTGGAACTTCCAGAGGGTGTTACAAAAGGGAAAAAATGCCACTGGGGTAGCCCGACGCATCGAGGTCCATCGCTATTTCTTTAGTACTCCTGAGTATGTAGTAACATTTAGTGTGCCCGAATTGTACGTATGTGATCCCACGCTTCGCAATAGCATGATCACCTTTTCTTTTCCTCCCGTCGGATACTGTCGTCAACGCGTGGAAAAGGTGCGACCTTGGGAACAGGGGCGAACCAGGTGGGAAGCGCCCCCACTAACAGTGCAGCGGCCACCGCGCGCAGGGCCATCCCCGGCGCGCCCAGCCCTGCTAGAGCCTATGGCTTTTGCTTTGGTTTGGGTGCGGATGGCAAGGGTCTCGCCGGGAAGCTCAAGCAACTGTTTGCCGGTGAAAACGGTTTCGGGAGAGGGCCAATCACCACGGACGGGTGCAACGCACCCAAGTTCGGAGAGGCGGGAGTGACAAACTCCGACAGATTCTCGTGGACGCTTGACGACCACGACAATCTCATCCTCCCCGTCCACAACAGCAACAGCTACGGCGGGAAGCACCCTAGGTGCCAAATCGGAGGTGTTGTCCTCGTTGAGAGGGTCAAGGGATCGTGGCGACTATGCCCATGGGCGTATCGGTACGTCTCGACTGGGAGGGTCGTGCAACAGATCACGCACAACCAACGCCACAACGGGGCACAACAGAAGGGCAGCGACAAGAAGAGGGCGCAGAAGTAGTGAGTTTCCAGAGTGTAAATGATGCTTTTCAGGAATGTAAGATACCCTCATTACTTTTATATCTGTGATAGTTACATATTGGATGCGTCGTGAGAACCGAAGACGACGCGGTGTGTCCATTTCGAAGAGTTTCGTCCAGGCACTAGCCGTGGCTTCTATTCATGCAGCCACAATGAATCATATTCGAGCGGTAGCAATTGCTGCCGATGCCAAGTTAGAAAAACAAGCATTTGGTTGCCTGTATAGCCGTTGAACCATACACCCCGCTAGTTTTGTTCCGGACGTGGGGTAGAGAGAAATACAGAGAGAATAGGAGAGAGAGAGAGAGAGAGAGAGAGAGAGAGAGAGAGAGAGAGAGAGAGAGAGAGAGAGAGAGAGAGACAGGAGTTTTTTGTCGTTTTCCATAATCTTTTTTCTGTTACTTCCATGGAGTTTTAGTCAGCAGATCCGGCGGGGATATGTCCTCATTGAGAGAGGTTGTTTGGTGGTATCGCGATCACCACCCCAATAGGATGTGGGTGTTAGACGGTGACACGCGAGTACAGATTGCTGTCACAAGCCCTGGGGAGGGGGGGTTGTCGGGTGCCTGTGTTCTACGGCGTGTTTTGTTCTCAGAAGAGCACGGGTTTGATAGTTCGATGCGAAAGGTGTACCAGGTATGAAGTGGTATATATTTGTTGTAACACACTCCCACAGAAGAAGCATTTGTTGCTACGAGACCATCACTCGGAGCTTCTCTGTGATGTCGAAAATGTGGGATTTCGGCACCTACCTAGCTGCATTCGAGGTGATGTGGTCCACAAAAAAATGTACGTGTGCGTTTACACCAGGAAATCGAGAATGTCCCTCCCTGTAGTCGTCTGAGAAGTGATTTTTATTGAGTCAAAATTGTTCCATTTAGATTTCAGATAGATTCAGTTTTTGTGTCCTCAACGGGGAATGGTTTTTGAACGTGGATTTACGATCACCATCCGATTGGATGTGATATGTCTTTGATTGTTGGTGGTTTTAGCGTTGGATTCCGAACTCTTCGGTTGAAACGCGATCGCTGGGGGTTGATCAAATTTTGTTTGAAGCGTTCAACTTGTAGATTTGTCGCATACGCGGAGGGCAACAGTGAAACATTCGGGAAACAATGCCACTGCATTTGGCTTTGATTGAATCAAAGGCAATCATGGTATCAACCTTCCCTCTCCGTGTAGCAAATTGCCCGGTCCGCACAACAACACAACGGTAGAGCGGGATGGGAGATTGGTGGTCTGATGTATCATTAGTGGGACTTACAGCCGTGTACAGCCAGTGGACGTCAGCGTAAAAGTGCCGCGCCTGATGTATGATCAACCTCCCTTCCACTGTACGGCCTTGGACAGCGTGCACGGTACATGCTCCTGGGGGATCGAACAAATTTTCTGCCTCCGCTCGACAGAGTGAAGTTTCCTCAAGACTAGCACCATCGTCAAATGCACTTGCGACAACGACCTCATCTGCCGATGATCGGATGACATTGTACATGTGGTTCTTGTGTATCTTGCCCGGGTTCCCGAGGTCCCTGTATTGTGCACCGACAACCGTCTGACACCCCAGCCCATCCCAGCCACCGAGTTCGTTGCACCCCAACAAACCTCGGAAGGCATGGAATCGAGCGCATTCTCTAGTGTACGCGAGGTGAAAATCTGACGGGCTATGGTGATAAGTCGAGCTCCTGCATCCAAACCTGGGCAGCAGCCAATATCATGCTTAGTGTCCGGAGAGGCATATACGCAGCTTCTTCAATGATGATCACGTCAACCTTGAGCGTTCGTATCGACCCGGCCGTTTTCTTCACGTGAGAATCATCCCCCAGATAGAAACCGAGCTGGTGGTCGGCGGTCTTTACACTCCACCCACGTGGCATGTCTGTGAAGGACGTTCTCAAACTATTGGTGGGGGTTACGACAAGCCCAGTTTTGAAGATGGCCGTTGCAGCACGGGTTGCGCAGTAACTCTTCCCCGCTCCCCCATGCTCCCCGGTCACCGCGCAAACGATCCTTTCCTCCTCGAACTTCAGCGCACGTAGTAGTCGTTCAAGGGTTGCTGGTGACTCCGTCTCGCACACCTCCGGCCAAACCTGTAGTTTTTGGTCTTTGGTGAGAGAAAGCCAGGCTCTGTGGGTGTCATCCATGGATGGGAAGCTCGTCCCAATGCCATCCCAAAGCGGAACCACCCGTAGGACCCGTTTAGGCGGGCATGGGATTTGCCTTAGTGCGGGCGGTAACGCACTCAGGGATAGTTTGGTTTCGATGCCATGGAAGACGCGACTCTCGGAGGTCTGTGGATTCTTCAACGCTGGGCAAAACTTGAGCGTTCCGGGAGTATTGAGCTCACCACTGAACAGATGGCCAAAGCGGAGCCTCATTTCATCCTGGACTGCGGGAGATCCCTTGAAGAATACCGCGTCACATTGGTAGCTAAAGTCTGATGCGCCGCAGGATTCAAGAGCATTCCGTACCTCCAACACACGCAGTCGAGTTTGGTCGAGAATTTCTTCACCCAAGGCCCAGAAGCCGTCTCTGAACCAAGTTCTCGTTTCGCTTCGAAGCAAAGGTAAGCGTCCCCGGTAGCGAGTGGTTCGAAGCCCAGCTCTTTGTGGCCTGTGCGTAGGCCGGCCGTTACATGTTTGACTTCACCGAGGACCGGTACGACCTTTGCACCCACAGCTAAGGCCTCGTCACTGCCCGTAACCATGACAGCATCGATCCTGTCCGCATATCTCTGCTGCAACATTCCACTGGTCCGCACGAACATCCCTTTCTTACATTTGCGAGCGCTTTCGGCGCCCTCCAGGAGGGGGTCCCCAAGCTCCCGTGTGAGCAGCTCTCTGGCCACGTAAGGTATGTGGCATCTTTCGACCGTCCTTGCCGGCCTCACAAAGTGGGTCACTCGATGGCGAACACATCTGCGAGTTTGCTGAATGTACCGTTTGTAGTTCCGACCCGTGATTGGGGTCACATCAGCGTTAAGATACACGTCAGGGTCCCCTGTGTCATCCAGCCGAACGACGTAAAGCGTCGAATCCTCGATTTCGTGGTCATCGTACTCCTGCACTTCGTCCATGTGGGCGAACACCGACACCGTATCCATGCTCAAAAGGGCCGCCGTGTGTGCCCCGTTGATGTCGCACTGCCAGTCTTCCGGCCCGTACGAAGTCCCAGACGCTTGCTCGGCGCCTACGATTGGTCCGCGCCAGCATATCTCGAGAAGGGCGAGGAGGGACTGGCTGTACTGGCTCGAAACTCTAAAGTCCATGACACGACGATAAAACTGCTGACCCAACGCGTTTTGCAGCTCAATCAACCGGGTAGCCTCACCGGGCCGAAAGTCGTTCGGGTCCAACCCGCCCATGCTTGCGGCGCACCACGTTCGGATAGTGATGCCAAGTGAGGGTAAGGTGAGGGAGTCCCAATGGCTGTAGTTGGTAAGTTTCCCCCTGCATGAGATGCCGCGAATGTGCAGGTGGAGCATCAATTCGTCGAGAGCAGTTCCCGGAGGCGAATACCACGTCGTGAATTCTGATGCGTCTGTTCCTCGCTTCCGCTTCTGCGCCGACCTCGGGTCGTGATCCTTGTCTAATCGACTCATCATGGACATGATCTCTTTTTCGATGTCCGCAACACGCAAAAAAGTCCTGCTTCCACACCCAGTGGTGTCCACTTCCTCTTCCTCTTCGACAGCCTCGGCAACCCGACGGAATCTTCGCTGGGTTCTAACACTGTGCTCGATGGCCACGTCCAAGGATGATCCAAACCGGTCCCTCCATGGCCCGTCGACCTCCAATCGGTATACGTGTCCCTCGCGAACCCCAACGTGTAATGCTGGCGGCCGGAGATTTGTTTTTTCGTCGACTGGCCCAAGAACATTGTCGCCGGAGCCCCTGTGTGACCACACGACGACGATCGCCTTGGTCATACTTAGCCACTGCTCGAGGTTTCGCAAGGTGAGCAGTGAGTGGCGGTTCACTTACCCCCGCAAGCCACGTATCGAACTCTTCGCTCCCCACGTCTCGACCCAGAAGCACTGAATACAGGTTGCGGAAGTAGTTGTCACCATCCAACGCATTCCTCAGCGGTTCAGTGGCACCCTCCCTTCGCCGTCCACCACCGGTCGAGATCGTGAATGATCCCGTTACAGGGTCGACATCCCTGAAGCCAAATCTCCGTCGATCTCGTTTCAAAAGTTCGACTTGACAGTCTCGCCAGGTGTCCGCAACGAGCACAGCGAAGCAAGCACCAGGGAGTCGTTTCTTCCATGTCATGCCGAACGTGGTCAGAGGTTCGTATCTCACAACCCTGTCACCAAAGGACGCGATGTTGAGTTGTCTGAAGCTAGGGCTTGGCGAGTCGATACCGGCGCGGACCTGGAGGTTCGACAAGGAAGCCGGGATGCCTTCATGATCGACCTCGATTCTTCTGCCCGCCGATCCCCAGCAGAGGATCGCTCGCCAGGTGTCATCCGCCGCTGAGACTACGAGCTGCCCGCGGCCACCGCCCTCGACGTCGATAAAAGCGGTCTTCCATGCATCGGCATCCCTCGGGTGGACCAGGCCGCGTCGCCACTTCCTTCTTGCCCAGGACTGGAAATTTTCCAGTGACGGATCACCTCCAACTGGATGCGAATATTGAACCATCTATATCCCGGTCCATGGGACGAGGCCGAGATACGAACCCGGTATCCTGCACCGAAGACCGCCTGGCGACGATACATAACCCCTCGCGGGCCTACATAGCGCCACCCATTACTCCTGTTTGCCAGGGGTTCGGCTTGATCCACTTGCTCCACGTAGCACCATCTGTATCCTGGCTGTTGTTGGGATGATGACCTAGTCGTCGGTGCTGCAAGTATTTTTTTGAGGTGGTGCAACATTTCTGTGTTTTGTATATCTAATTGTAAGACACAAAATTTATCTGCGGATTGGGGCGAATCGTCAACCACGGTGCTTGTTACTCCGGATTTGTAGAAGTGTGAGCGAAAGTGGGTACTGTTTGGAAGTAGGGAGATAGCCAAATCCAACTTTCAGTTTTCGCCTTCTCCTGCTTGGCCCGCCGAAGAGCTATCTATATGTGACGTGAGTAAGGAGATCCTGTGATCGGTATTTTGTCACTCCTCCTTCATAACTGCTGCTATAATAGTAATCATTATCGAAGTCAGCAGGCTACGAGCTGATGTGACATGAAATTCATCAATCATCAGTCACCCACGGCGAATTTGAATTTTTCGAGATTTCACGAGAAGTGACGTCACAACCGTGGCTGACGTCATCGGTCGACCATGGAATTTTCGACCAAAGGAAATTTCCTGTCAAAAAAATTGGCCAATCAGAAAACTGCGGGCACCTTTTCTCTCTCTCAATCACATAATGAAGAAGGTTGGGAGGACACGGACACAGCAGATCGCACACATGTTGAAGTTTTTCCTGTGATGCCGCAATAATGGAGCCTAGCCTACCCATTCCATCCAACACCTCTTAGCCTTGAGGAGACCTTGCGATCGGTGTTTTGTCACCCCTGCTCCATTGTTGACTGAGAGTCCTTCCTTGTTTGGTTGGGTGATTCCCGAGAGGGCGTGTGTGACTACTGCTGCTGTGCTGGGATCATCAATCAGTCATCCACGGCCAAAATTCAAAATTTTGAATTTCGCCGAAAGGCGACTTCTCGACCGTGGGTGACGTCATTGGACGACCAGGGATTTTTGCCCTTTCTTTGGAACGGTCCTCAAAAATTTTGGCCAATCAATTAATTGCGGGCACCTTTTCTCTCTCTCTCACCTTTTCTCTCTCTCTCTTTTGCCCTTTCTTTGGAACGGCCCTCAAAAATTTTGGCCAATCAATTAATTGCGGGCTCATTTTCTTTGGAACGGTCCTCAAAAATTTTGGCCAATCAATTAATTGCGGGCACCTTTTCTCTCTCTCTCTTTTGCCCTTTCTTTGGAACGGTCCTCAAAAATTTTGGCCAATCAATTAATTGCGGGCACCTTTTCTCTCTCCCTCACCTTTTCTCTCTCTCTCTTCCTGGTTTGGTTGGTTGGGTGATTCCCGAGAGGGCGTGTGTGACTACTGCTGCTGTGCTGGGATCATCAATCAGTCATCCACGGCCAAAATTCAACATTTTGAATTTCGCCGAAAGGCGACTTCTCGACCGTGGGTGACGTCATTGGACGACCAGGGATTTTTGCCCTTTCTTTGGAACGGTCCTCAAAAATTTTGGCCAATCAATTAATTGCGGGCACCTTTTCTCTCTCTCTCTTTTGCCCTTTCTTTGGAACGGTCCTCAAAAATTTTGGCCAATCAATTAATTGCGGGCTCCTTTTCTCTCTCTCTCTCCTCAAAAATTTTGGCCAATCAATTCATTGCGGGCACCTTTTCTCTCTCTCTCTTTTGCCCTTTCTTTGGAACGGTCCTCAAAAATTTTGGCCAATCAATTAATTGCGGGCACCTTTTCTCTCTCTCTCTTTTGCCCTTTCTTTGGAACGGTCCTCAAAAATTTTGGCCAATCAATTAATTGCGGGCACCTTTTCTCTCTCTCTCTTTTTTTTTGAATTTCGCCGAAAGGCGACTTCTCGACCGTGGGTGACGTCATTGGACGACCAGGGATTTTTGCCCTTTCTTTGGAACGGTCCTCAAAAATTTTGGCCAATCAATTAATTGCGGGCACCTTTTCTCTCTCTCTCTTTTGCCCTTTCTTTGGAACGGTCCTCAAAAATTTTGGCCAATCAATTAATTGCGGGCACCTTTTCTCTCTCCCTCACCTTTTCTCTCTCTCTCTTCCTGGTTTGGTTGGTTGGGTGATTCCCGAGAGGGCGTGTGTGACTACTGCTGCTGTGCTGGGATCATCAATCAGTCATCCACGGCCAAAATTCAAAATTTTGAATTTCGCCGAAAGGCGACTTCTCGACCGTGGGTGACGTCATTGGACGACCAGGGATTTTTGCCCTTTCTTTGGAACGGTCCTCAAAAATTTTGGCCAATCAATTAATTGCGGGCACCTTTTCTCTCTCTCTCACCTTTTCTCTCTCTCTCTTTTGCCCTTTCTTTGGAACGGTCCTCAAAAATTTTGGCCAATCAATTAATTGCGGGCTCATTTTCTCTCTCTCTCTCCTCAAAAATTTTGGCCAATCAATTCATTGCGGGCACCTTTTCTCTCTCTCTCTTTTTTTGCCCTTTCTTTGGAACGGTCCTCAAAAATTTTGGCCAATCAATTAATTGCGGGCACCTTTTCTCTCTCTCTCTCTTGCGGGCACCTTTTCTCTCTCCCTCACCTTTTCTCTCTCTCTCTTCCTTGTTTGGTTGGGTGATTCCCGAGAGGGCGTGTGTGACTACTGCTGCTGTGCTGGGATCATCAATCAGTCATCCACGGCCAAAATTCAAAATTTTGAATTTCGCCGAAAGGCGACTTCTTTTTTTTTTTTGGCCAATCAATTAATTGCGGGCACCTTTTCTCTCTCTCTCACCTTTTCTCTCTCTCTCTTTTGCCCTTTCTTTGGAACGGTCCTCAAAAATTTTGGCCAATCAATTAATTGCGGGCACCTTTTCTCTCTCTCTCTCTTGCGGGCACCTTTTCTCTCTCTCTCTCTTGCGGGCACCTTTTCTCTCTCCCTCACCTTTTCTCTCTCTCTCTTCCTTGTTTGGTTGGTTGGGTGATTCCCGAGAGGGCGTGTGTGACTACTGCTGCTGTGCTGGGATCATCAATCAGTCATCCACGGCCAAAATTCAAAATTTTGAATTTCGCCGAAAGGCGACTTCTCGACCGTGGGTGACGTCATTGGACGACCAGGGATTTTTGCCCTTTCCTTGGAACGGTCCTCAAAAATTTTGGCCAATCAATTAATTGCGGGCTCCTTTTCTCTCTCTCTTTTTTGCCCTTTCTTTGGAACGGTCCTCAAAAATTTTGGCCAATCAATTAATTGCGGGCACCTTTTCTCTCTCTCTCTACAGCAGGAGCACGCGACGAGTGCGCGTTGCAGTTGAGGACTGCTGTCATCAATACTAAATCGGGTCTTTGTTATTGTACCGCGCGATGGTGCTGTACCGAAACCAGGCGGTGACCGAACGGCGCAGGCTTTAGTTCGCCTTGGCGGAAACGGTTCATGTGCGCTGTTGGTGGTGATGGTGGTGGCGGCGGTGGTCTGTGGTTATTCGTTGAAACCGTTCTGACCTCTCTCTTTCCAGCACGACGGCACCACTCGTTCCCTTTCCCTTTCGCAAGTCTGGTGGTGATGGTGGTGGCGGCGGTGGTCTGTGGTTATTCGTTGAAACCGTTCTGACCTCTCTCTTTCCAGCACGACGGCACCACTCGTTCCCTTTCCCTTTCGCAAGTCACGAGTCACAGGTAGGCACACAGGTAGGCAATGAAACGACCGCCACTGCTGTACCTCGTTGTCGCAAGCCGTTCCATATGCATAAAATATGCAAACGTCTGCAGTACAAGTCTATAGACATCATGTACAACCGCTGTTGTTGAAGGGTCACTCAATTTTGAGTTTGTGGGTACATGACCTTCAATCCAGGGTGCGACAAATGAATGAAGTGGTCTTGGAGCGCAGAGCACAGAAATAACCTTCGTTCTCGCCCGCTCGCTAAAATATTGTACGTGGAAGACTCTGCTTCGGTGCTGCATTTTCGTACGGCGTAGCTCTCGGTGCTTTGATGTACCACAACAAACAAACAGAAACATGCTCATCTAGACTATCTATGTACGACGCACGAGACTATCTAGATAGACTACATAATCGACAGAGGTAGTAGACTGCAATCCTATGGTTCTCCGTCGTGTCCCTACTCACACGCTCCCCCGACCACCACCCCCCTACACCTACACAACACAACACAACACAACACGTATCAATGGCAGGCAAGGGGCGGCCTCCAGTAGACGCCAAGTTGTGAGCTCACGCCCAACGGCGCCGACTTGGTGTGCATGCAAGTGTACACCGACCATGCTGACAACTCTCGACCAATCAACGCACAGGACAACTTTTGCTGAAGAACCAACAGCGCAACCGCTGTTGTAGGTCGGATGTCGTATGTCGTACAGGTCATTGTTGTATGCATGTATGGCAGCGCAGCATGTGACCCCCGATCTACTGCTGTGGACGCTGACCTGATGCACCCCCCAGCATGCAGACTTGAGTACTTGTGTACAGCAGCTGACTCACGTGGATTGGTGGTGCGCAGAGCGATGAGCAGGTAATCTCTCACTATGTGGAATTTCACCACATTGTTTCCGATCACGTGATCACGGATCACGGCAGGGAGCGGAGAATGTGGGTGCCTTGGTAAAGCGTGTGCGAAGTAAATGGTTGTCGAATCGGACCCGCGGACTGGGCGCCTGGAGCACGCAGAGAAAGTTCCCCGGGAGTCCGCTGTGTGTTGTGGGTTGCGTTCTCAGAGCTGTGAGTGTGTGTGGTCAAAACATGAGCTACATGACGAGCAGCAGCTATGGCGAGCGTGATAGACTTCTTCCTCGTGGGCAGCAGCAGCAGCAGCAGCAGCAGCAGCAGCAGCAGCAGCAGCGGCAGCACAGCAGCAAGATACTACGAAGGTTGCTGCCTGGGTCCTGCCCAAAGGCGAGAAGTGTCGCGGTGGCATGCGGAGGAATGCTCATGGTCCTGTCCGCCACGCTGCTCGCCGGTAAGAACCTGGCGCGTCCTCGCGCCTCGTCAACCCCAGCGGAAGAAGAACAGGGGGCAAAGGGAGCAGGGCGCGTTAGCCCAGTCACTACCGTTTCGGCGCAAACGAATTTAAATTTAGTGTTCTCGCGGCAGCAGCAGCAGCAGGAGGAGGAGGAGGAGGAGGAGGAGAGTTCTAGCGGGCAACCGAACGTGATATTTATCTTGGTCGACGATGTCGGCACGAACGACGTCGGGTACGAGAGCACGGATCTGTGGCAGCTTACCCCTTTCATGAACACTCTGGCCGCGGAAGGGGTTATCCTCGACGACTACTATTCGAACGAGATCTGCACCCCCTCAAGAGTAAGTTCCTGCTTCTCTCCTACAGGAGATTTGATTTCCGTTTTGCTGGGCAGCGTTGGCCCTCTACTGCCTTTCGCACGCAAGCGTTATTCCGAGACGCAGATTGCCGAGCACTGAAAAATACATTCTTATGTAAAGTACTTGCAAACCGTTTACCACCCAAGCACACAGCATTCTAGCCGTAACCTGCTGTACCCCCACCTTGGGGCCTAGAGATCTAATGTTACAATATGCTGCTTGCGTAGATGCTGGTATTCTTAAGGGGTGTGTTGTTAACGCAACGGAAAATTCACGCATTTTTCACGGAACAGTGTCGGTGAAGAAAAGAAGATCCGATTATTTTTACGGGAAGACCGTTTTGTAACGAACGCGGGAAAATTAACATGATGCCGTATGCAATACGTACATACCGGTAGACGGGTACCCACATCGTTTGTTGTCCTTGTCACGCCATAGCCAAACTCGCATTCAAACCCATGACCACTCGCTGCATGGAATGGAAAGCTGCTACTACTTACCAGCTTACGTTGCCGTTATCGGTGTTCTGTCAGCCAGGTGCAACGGTATCTACACGTAAGCGTGTGATGCGCCCTGAGCACAAAAATAATATTGATCTACAGCTGGCGCCGGTCGGCGAGATGTCGTGCATACCACACCCCCGTAGCACTACGTAGTGGGGCCCCCGTGCGTATTTCATTGGGCATCGCACCAGCCGGCGAGATGGCACCGGGGTACCCGGGGGTGCGACAATAAACACGAAAATAACACATGTAAAAGAACGATCGCACCCGGTGCCATCTCTCCGACTCTTACGGTGCTGCTGGTGCCCAGCGTAGTGCAGATCAAATCTCGGGGCACGAGTGTCAACTCCTATGCTAAAACCTATACTTCATGTATCCTTGTTCTGAATGGTGCCAGCAGATGTAATACACGTAGTTCCGGTGAATTTTTCTGGGCACATACCAGCACGAACACATGGACCTCTACGCCTGTGCTTACCCTATCGATAGCCCCATCCTCGAACACCACCAAGGGGCCCAAACCACCAAATACATTAATTTGACCTACCTGGTGGTGAGCACACTACTTTGCATTCTACAAAGGAGACCACCGGTTCGACAAAAAAGTGGCACCTAACAACGAAAACCCGCCGTGTTTTGCTGTTTGTTGTATACATACCCCGTCAGGCGTCGCTGATGACCGGCAGAGATTCATTCCGCACCGGGATGCAGTTTGGCGTTGTCGAAGATTCTGCTGCGTGGGGCCTGCCCATCGATGAAGTTACCCTTGCCGAGAGGTTCCAGGCCGCCGGGTATTCCACTCACATGGTGAGGCGTTTTGAACTAGAAACGGGGAAGAAAAGGAGGCTGCTCTTGGAGAATCCGCGATCTGTTATGCCTCGCTGTGTGTCTCCCTCTGTCTCTCATCCTCCCCCCTCAGCCGCTGAACAAAACGTGTCTCGAACGCCTGTGCAGCATTGACCGTGTTCATTCTTGTCTTGTGTGGAGTGTAGATGCAACCCCTTTTGTTTTAAGCGTGCCGCTGGCAAGCCATTGGCGGCAGGAACCGAAGCCGTTCGCGGTTGCCGGTCGCCTTGTTGCCCACTATTGTAATGTTGGATATCGTACCCAATCTTTGATACATCTATCAGCTTATCGTTTCGATATCGAGTATCGAAAACATTCGGCATCCTAGATATCGATACGATAAATTCTCTACGGAACCCCTGATGTTCCACACGACGGAACCGGCGAAGTTGCACCATTTTCTTCATATGTAGTTGTCTTGTCAAAAGAGGAAAGCGGTTGGTGGTGATGAATCTCAGGTGCGGTAGCTGGACTAAGTAAGCTTCACGTCCCGCATGTAGCTCCGTTACTCAACAATCCACGCTCTTGGGGGGGCTTAGCAAAATGGTTTGTGCGGTGGATGGGGACGGACTCGGCTTCTCTCCAGCGCCATGTGTACCATCAGCCACCACCGCATCAATCAATCAATCCCTGGTCTATCCTGTTCACGGCAGAACCACCCACAAGCCGTGCGTGTGCTCCTTCCTTCCCCGACGGGCTGTTTTCTTGGGAAGTATCATATCATATCATATCATATCATATCATACATAATGTCAAGTGTATTCTCGGTAGCTTGGTTCTTTCTCTGTGTTATCTATCTTGCGCACCAGGTGTGCTCACTCTCTGTATCCTTCCCTGTCCCCCATCTGCGGGGCCGCTGAGACTATACTGCTGTATTCGTACCCGTTGTTCAGATGCTGCTGCCCCTCCGTCGCCCTCCCCCCATCCCACCCACCCAACCCCGACTATTCTCTTTTCTCTCTCTTGCTCTCCGTCCCTCTCTGTATATGTCTTTTTCTCTCTCCCTCTCTCCCTCGCTACCTCTCTCTCTCTCTCTCTCTGTCTCTGTCTCTGTGTCTGTGTCTGCGTCCCTGTCTCTCTCTGCTTCTTCTCGCTCCTATGGACATTCAAACTCTCGCGCCAAAGACCGGCAAATGGCATCTGGGTGTGTATTCAAACGCGAACTACCCCTTTTCCAGGGGATTCGACACTTTCTTGGGATACACTGGCGGTGGCGAAGGCTACTATACTCACAGAGAGTGAGTTGTGGGTAACTGTGCCATTCTTTTTTTTTTTCTCTCTCTCTCTCTCTCCCTCCGCCCTTCCCAACCCGTCTTTTGTTTTTGTTAAAACCACAAACGGGTGCTTCGCCCGGGCTTGATACATACAAGTACTACCTCTCGTGTTGATTTTTCGTTGGAATGAGTGGTGTTTTTGCGGGTCTTGAGGTTCCTCCCCAGCATCAAGGTAGGATACATGTATGTGTGCGTTGGCATCGCCGGTCGCCCGTCGCTCTGATTTTTTCCTAGACACTGCTGCTGCTACTGTCTCGTGGCCTCCGTGTAGGAACCCACTTTTAGCGCGCCAAAGGTCCATCGAACGAGCACCCCGCGTTTGACCCGGGGACGGGGGCTGGAGTGACGAGTTGCAGTGAAGCGATACGGCTTGACTACTGCTGGAGTCATCTAATTTTTGGAATATGACCCGTCCCCTCGTGTGTATCGAAAGGTGTGTGACCCCTGAGTTTGAGGGAGGGCAGTATACGTGCTACCAGGACTTCGGGTACGGCGACAAGGACGGTTACATCAACTTCACCACCAACACCACCCGAAAGGTATTTACAAGATCTACGGAGAGGAGGAAGAGATAATTGCACCGTGTGGGTTGGGGCATGAGCGGAATATTTCGATGTGTCTAGGCGATTTGGTAGATTTTGTTCCGAACTAGAAGTATTATAGTACTTTCGTGGCACCCGCCGTGGAATGCCGAGAGGAATATGGAACGCCTCGCCTTGATGGTGATTCAATCGAGTTAAAAGTTACACCGATCTACGATGTCTCAAAAGAGTTTTTTCACAGGGGGATACTTATAGTCTTGCATGCCTAGGCGTTAGACCATTGACCTCGCATCCCTACAAAGCCGGGACGGAGCACGCCGGGTTCTCACCGGACCAGGCTTTCACGTCACCAAGCGCGAAGCACCGTTGGGTATTCGGCGAGTCGCGTGAAGGGTGCGCTGCATCCTGCATAGGGTGTTCGGCATCTTGTGCTTACTTCCTTGCGTACGCATGGCAGCTGCGTACGAGTTAATTTATGTTCGGGTGCAACCACTTCCAGAGACAGCTGTAAGCAGTATGTAACTGCCTCGAGGGTGCTTGACCAATTTAACACAACGTGGTGCAATCATTCCCTTTGCGCCGGGTGAGGGTTCTCGACCCCGCACAACATAATCTACTCGACCACCATGATGGCTACCGCAACAATAAAATACAGAGACGAAAAAAATATAGCGGTAATAACCTGGTTGCCGAGCTCACGAAGTGATCGGCTTGTTTTACAACGTCGGTTGCCAAGCGACGAAAACCCAACCCCGATGTCAAACACCGAGGGGGGCGGCACGGCGCCGGGGGTGTACTTTTTCCCTCTCATGCGCGATCTGACATTTCCCACCGCTGGTAATCTCATCGGCAGGGCCCCGAAATGACGGGAAAGTACAGCACGACGGTCATCACCGATCGAGCCATCGAGGTCGCTAGAGAGCACGTGGAAAAATCTCCCTCCGACCCGCTATTTCTATACGTGGCGCACCAGGTGAGTGAGAGTTGGAATCAAGCTATAACCACTTGCTGTATTTTCGAATCGTGCTCCTACGCCTTCGTGTCTCGTGTATCGGAAGCGCGTCAGCGGTGCAATCGTTTTCGCGAGCGATCTGCCGCGCATCGTCGAATGGTGCGCTGGTGTGTTCTGTCGTGCTTGACGTGGAGCCGGGTGCCACGGTGTGGTGTCGTGGTATGTGCGTGGCTCGTGGTGCGGGGAAACTAACACCGACCGGAGCGTAGCGTGTAGCGTGGCACTTGGACCATCACGTTCGTTGCGAACAGTCGGAGTATGGAATGAGAACAAAGGTGTGCCCGTTAGACTATTTGTATCCGGTCAACCAAGCGAGAAATACGAACGGTGACCAAGTACCGCAGTAGTCATTTTATGGGGCCTTGACGACCCCAGGATTCTGATGCCCTACGACGTTTTTTAGGAAGACTCGCTGAGGCATTCAGCGTCTCGTAAGTGACGTCACAGGCCACGAACCTTTCATGGGAGCATCAAGTCGTGCTTACCACGGTCAGTGGGTATTGATACCTCCCTGTCCCCCTCCGGCAACAACGAACTCGACCGGCTCCTGGAGTGCGCACATCACACCGTTGGTGCGACTCGCTTCACACTTGTTGTTGTTTACCAAATCACGCGAGACATGACGTCGGCTCGCGCAACGTCAACGTTTCCAGAATCAAAAACCACATGCTACAGGCGGCGCCTCACATGCCACTGGATGATCGCCCCCCCGGTCGGACATGTTCACAACACGCCTGCACTACCACACGGACGTACCCACTCGCCACTTTGCAATCTCGAAACGACCACAGGCGGTGCACGAACCGTTGGACTCTCCCCCGCCCGGCTCGTTCACTGACGAGGAAGTGGAGCTTCTGGAAGGGCTTGATTACAGCCACCGCGAGCGCCGCGCTCTCGCCAGCATCGTCTACTACCTCGACAAGGAGGTGAAGTGCAATACGTCGGCGCTAGCGTTCTTCTTCCTCTTGTCTCGATGGAAACCCTCTCGCGTCTATGAAAGCGTAGATTGGAACAAGATCTGAATTTCATTGATTGATCGCCGTGGGCTCTGTTTTCCTTTCGCCACCAACTGCCAACCCACCAGGTTCGCAGGCTTCACACAGCGCTCGATGCCCTCGGAGTGCTCGACAACGCCGTCATCGTGTTTGCGAGCGACAACGGTGCTTGCCCGTCCAAGGGGGGATCCAACTACCCGTTGAGGGGCTTCAAACACACCACATTCCAGGGGGGGGTCCGTGTACCCGGGTTCGTCTACTCCAAGTCGGCGGACTTGATTCCGGAGGAGGTCAGTCCGTACTGTACCCTTTTCGTGTGTACAGTGTACAGTGTATAGTGTACCTTTTTTTTTGGCGCGGGTTGCTTGTGGCATGGCGTGCTGGCCGGCCGCCCTGTTGGCGGTGGTGCGTTTGCTCGGTGGTGCGCTGGTGGCGAACAATTTGGTGTGCTGGTGTTGTGTGTCGCGTTCTGGCCCCGTTGGTCCCTCTCTCTGTCTGCTGTTCTCTCTGTATTTGCGCCTGTCTCAGCTCTCAGTCTGTCTGTCCGTCTGTCTGTCAATCTATCTGGCGTTTTGTCCCTCTCGTCCAGTCATTTGACACGTTGGACAGGATGTTCAGGATGAGGATTGTGTACCACCACCCCCCCCCGGACATATTTGAAACGAGGTCAATGGTCTAACGTCTACGGCATGGACGGCTGTGTGAGTATGACTACATCCCTCGGACGTGCGAGCCTCATCCCGCCCCCCCCCCCCACCAAATGCCCCACCACGAGTGCTACCCCTTACCATCGCGCG